GTGCTGCTCTGACTGCCGGGGGGGCTGGCAGCAATTCCCAGCCTGACATAAAWCTCTTCATCCCTGTCAGGTCGCCTGTGTTTGCTGCGCAGGTGACATTCGCAGCTTAAATTTATTCAGTCTCTGCCTCTCTGCATTGTTYGGTACAGCTGGATGGCGCTTGCTGTGGCGGGGTTGTTAGTTTGTCCCTTTATCACTGTTGAGATCCCTCTTTAACATTGGCTCCTGCAAGGATGAACCTAAGGACTGAGCTGATGTCCTCTGCTCACTTGTCAGGAGGTCGCAGCTCCAGACACTTGTCAATCCGCGGATGCTGCAGAGCCTCCTCGTTTGTCACCCTGGGAAGTGCCCCTCACGCAGGGACATGAGCTGAAGGGCCGTCTCCRCAGCCCCACGCGGGGCCTGCTCAGCCCTCGACGTGGCAAGACGGCCCTCCTGTAAATGCCATTCTCCTCACGCCTCGAAATGTCACCCGTTTCCATTCAGGGATTCCCAAAGTACCTACCTTATTGACAGGCTGCCCAGCCCAAAGGAGAGCAGGGAACTCAGGCCTGCAGCAGAGCCTCGATAACAAATAATCTTATATCCAGCCTTTCATTTTACTGAAAAATGTGCAAGAAGGAGAAGGCCACAAACTGAAGCATAAGAAGTTCCGTCTCCAGGTGAGGAGCAACTTCTTTACTGTTAGGGTAACAGAGCAGTGGAAGAGGCTGCCCAGGGAGGTTGTGGAGTCTCCTACTCTGGAGGTCTTCAAAACCCGCCTGGATGCCGCCCTGTGCCACATGGTCTAGGTGTGCCTGCTTGAGCAGGAAGGTTGGACTAGATGATCTGTAGAGGTCCCTTCCAACCTTAAATATTCTGAAATATTCTGAAATATTCTGAAAGGCCTGCAACAGCCTCGATGTGAGAGGATGCTTTTGTCATGGGCTTGTAGTTGCCAAACAACCACACAAATAAGCTGTATGTGAAAAGTGCKGRAAGTTGCAGACACTGACCTTACAAAGAACCAAGATGAGAAGCATTCTTGCATTTATTTTAAAAAGTAAATTGATCTTGAAAGAAAAGCAGGCCCTTCTCGAAGTGTTTCTGCAGGCATTTTGAGATCTGAAGTGGTGGTTGTCCTACACCAGAGCCCAAATGTGCCTGCAGCAGAGAAAAAAAGGGTCATGGATATAGCATTCTGCAATAAGATGGAAGAGAAGATGACGTAGTAGTCTTCAGGGTAGTGAAGGGTTCCTTGAAGAAGATGGATTTAAAAGGAAATAGGAATCAGGATTTCATGAAGTGTCTATCCAATGGTTGTTATCAAGGACAAGCACTTTCACTCCCTTTTTGAGGCTCGTGACTGTTGAGGTACTTGTTATTTGAAGGCTTAAGGGTGTAATGTGGAAGGAATACACGTACTCGAGCCTCCCCAATCCAAAAATTGGAACTGCTTTTTTCAACTTTTGATATTTCTTTAGTTTTGCATGTTGTTTTCCTTTCGTAACGGTTTAAAAGCCTAAGATGTTGGTAGGGAGTAGCTTTGATAACATCCTGCATTTTTCGTTTCAAAAAATGTAATTGCAGATCCACAAATCATTGATGTTTCCAGTTAATGCTGCTATCTGTTTATTTTTAAGGAAATGGATTATCATAGTTGTGCTTGATTACATTTTAGTAATGATATTAAAAAAAAAAAAAAAGGCAAAACAAAAAAGAACGAGCTGTTCTCAGATGCCACTGGTGTGATGACCCTGAATTGCAAACAGGTAATCCTGGAGCTCTGTGTTTCATACGTGAATAGGAAAATATTCACATACTGGCTGCTTTATTCACCTTGCAGCCTAATCCCCAGCTCAAGATGACTTTGGGACAGCACAAAACTCTCATTTTGGGAACTTGCCTTTCACTAGATGCCTCTTGCTYTGCTTTCTGAAGTGCAGTTGCTCTCATCAGGGTATGGCTTGTGATAAGGAAACCTTGAATGGCTTGGAATTCAGGTTAGTTCAGATAAGGGTCCTAAAGTGTAGCTATACAACGTTACTGTGTAGCTGTTTCAGTTTGATCTGTAGTAGAAAATAATCCAAACTTAATTATAGTGTATTGTTAAATAGATACAATGGCCTGTAATCTCATGTGGATTGACTCTATAATTGTTTGAAGAATTTTACATTTCTATAGTTACTTGCATGTGGAMAAAGAAACAGCTACTTAATATACCTCTAAAAGTCTCTCATTTTCCTRGTGTATGTGTCTTTTATAAGTGTCAGTGTTCTAGTATAAAGATCAAAAGAGGTTACACTTTTCAAGCTTGCCAGTGTGGAGGTAGCATTTAGGTTAGAGTCTGCTTTGCAGAGTGCTTCCCAGACAAAATAATTTAGGCATTTTTCTCCTGTAAGTGGGGGTAAAATTATTTCCTGTCCCTAACACTGAGGAGAAATTGAAAGGCAACTGTGTATTGCATTTTTTCCTGATTATATCTATGATATGTGAAGGAATCTTTCAACATGTAGTCCTTAAAGTATTGATCTTGCTGCAGAAGCTTTAAACTAAACAGACTTGTTTGCTGTCAAGCRTGCCATTCATGGGGTGTGCGGAGCCGCCGCCGCTGGGACTGCATCGTGGGCATGATTTCTGATTTCAGTAAAATATGTTGTCCCTGTGGTATTCTGGTCAGGTGAATTTTTTGTTGTTGTTTTGTCTTTCTTAGTGGGTGCCCAAAGTTAGGCACCCATTTGTTAGGAGAAGTTAATGCAGAAGGTGGGTGGCAGAGGGTGGGTGCTGCGATAGGTGATGATAGGAAGGCAGTTGAAGAAGTCTCCCRGGGCTCCAAGGCACAGAGCTGTTCTGCAAATCAAGTCCCTTGTTTAAATGTTCATGTGAAAAAGAGCTGGCTTGCTCTTTTTTATCATTTCCACTCTTTTCTTTTTTTTCCTACTCCTTTGCAAAAGTGCTGATATCCAAATTGAAAGCTGTAGTTGATATATTAGGGAATTTCTGCAGCTGGTTGTATCCTATAAAATTAATATATGGAAATCCACAGCAAGTGAGATTATTGAGGTACAAGTACCATAATATGCTATATTGTATAGATCAGCTGCTTCCTTGTTATATATTTCTGAACCTTGTAACTTATTTTAGTTCTGTGATACTCAAGACTGGGTTTGATTTTAGTAGAGCATTTCTTAACGGTATTGTGTTCAACAAGATGAATAACATTTTCTATTTACTGTTTACAGAGTATTCCAGATGCCTCCAGGCTGCAGGAAATGTACCTAGTATACAGTCTAATAAAAGAGCAAATTTAGCAGGACCAAGAAGTTGCACACGTTAGCAAATGGTCTGAATTTAAACACTRGGGAACATAAGGACTTCATTTTACATGAGTGGAATTCACATGTAAAGTATTAAAATTTAACTTTATATATAACTACATTTCATCAGGACCAGGACATTTTGTGTTTCCAAATCATCTTTAAAACTTCCTTTTTCATTTAATTTTCATTAGGTTTTCCAAAATGGAATAAACATAAACACATAAAAAATGTAAACCATAAAGAGAAATGCAAAGCAGACATATCAGCAGCAAAAATCTGAAAGCCAGATCCCCTTCTCCTCAAGGGCAACGTGGGAGGAGAGTCCTCCTTGTGTTCTGGTTTCCCTGCTCCTCTCCATCCCGCCTGCCTTGCTCCCTTGCCGGCTCCTCTCCTTGCTCCATGCAGCCCGTCCTTCCTTCAGGTTGGGTTGTTTTGGGTGGGTCAGTCCTTTAGGGGGTTCAGAACATAATCCAAAGAGCAATAAAATCAGTGGGAAACTTCCCAGAAGGGAAAATGGATTGTAAAGGGGTCGATTCCCATATAGCTACATATTGCAGAAGGGTGGGTTGGGTCTAGCCATGGAAAATGACTTGAGTGCTGAGGATAATTTGATATCAGGGTTGCACCTGGGCCAGAAAGGTGCACATGGAGTTGCCTGTGCTCGAGGCTGTTAAGGAGAGGGGGGTTTCTAGGCATTTAGTGTGCCGAGTTTTGTCASGGTATGGACTAAGTGACCCTTATTTGCGATGACTTGTATGTTGGGATTTGTGACAGTGACATCAACATGCCAATCGAATGCTACTTGCAGCAGCCTCATGTGCTGAGAAGATCCTGACACTGCTTATATGTTCTGAAAATTTTGGTTTTGTAGATCTATTTTAAACTTCCAYGTATTTGCTAAAAAAATATTGATTCTTTTTTTCCATCATCATCTTTGGATGAAATGTTACAGAAACATTTTCAAAGTGGCCTGTGGCAGTTTCCCTATTTATTTGACTGAATATAATCCTCTAATGTATGAAGTATGGAAAGATGCCTGCCTAGGTGGAGAACAGATACCATCAGGAAATGATTGCAATGAAATCACTTCTCAGACAGGGAAGTCATCTGAGAAGAAGTCAAGAAAAGCTCAGGTGAACAGGAGGAAGCCAAGGGAGAAGAGTTACAGAAAATGTAGCACAAAATCTAATGCAATAGTTAAGTTCTTTGTATATATTTCAACTCATTGATTGAAACTGTTYGATTGAGATGCTCTTGCATGTCTTTTTTTTCCTTTTTTGCCTATTGTATGTGCCAGTACCCTCAAGAGGAACTGCTAAAAATATGCCTGATGCAAAAGGAAATCTTCATACCTCAAATCTTTATAAAAGCCAGATGTTATCAGATGTGTTCCATTACTGTAGCTCTTTGCCTGTGTTTCCTGGGGCCTCAGGAAGCATGCGTGTTGCAGATCACTTCCATTAGCAAGTGCTTCGGAAGTGCAGCGTGCACAGGCAGTGCCCGCAGGAAATTTGGAAAACTCCATGAAATTTCCATTTTCTTTGCTTCGCTTACAATGCAGAAGCAAAGAGCAACAAGAAAAAAGAGAAACCCTTGAAGTGCAATGGTTGTGTTATGTGTTATCTTTAGACGGGCCAGGAAAACCAGAATACTTTTTTTCTGAGTCTGTCATGCAATTTTAGTCTTCTCTTTCTTGTCCAGATGTTGACGAGTGCGCGGCAGTGAACGGAGGCTGCCAGCAAGGCTGTGTGAACACCCCGGGCTCCTTCCACTGCGAGTGCAGCGACGGGTACAGGCTCCACGCTGACGGGCGCACTTGCATTAGTAAGTAAATGGTTCTTGACAAGCTTCAGGCTGCTCTTTCTCAAGCTGCTGAACTGTCTTTGCAGAAGTGTAAAGACATGTAGTCTTTCTCAATCTCAGTTTTGCCTAATTTGCAAAGGATACCTATATCCCTTTCTGCTCAAGCAGTTTGCCATAATTTCCAAATTTGTTCTTTCTTGCGAACAAAGCGGTGTTGGTGTCCAGGATTTCTGTGATGTCTTGTGAAAAAATCCTGATTTTTTGAAGCCATCGAGAGGTAAAGAAATGAAAGGTCTTCCTTTCAAATGAAAAAAGTTTCCCCAATTCTGAGTTTTTTTCTCTTCATCGTATCCCACTGCACACTCTTACCATGCTCTTGGCTTCTCCATCGCCATTTCTCATGCTCATTCTTTAATTTTTTTGCCTGCTTTTTCTGAGGAGGCACCAGCAATACAGAGCAGAATCTCCTGTCCACAGCTGCCTCTCAGTGCTCTATTGTGCCAGGCACTTGGCTCCATAAAACAGCTTGTGTCTTCAGTGGTCCTAAATGAAGGCTCAAAACCAGCTGAAGTTGAATTTAACCCAGTCTATAATAGAGAAGCATCTTGAAGAGACGCCTGGGAGTCTGTAAGGTTTCCCAGGCTCTCTGGTGAGAAGCAGCAGATGATCATTAGCTGTATTGGGAGTCAAGGAGGAAGAGGAAGGTGGTGCAGGAGTGAGCGGAGCAGATAATTCACTGTGGAGGCTCCAGAGCAGAGGCCAAACTTGTGAATTTTTAAGCTGCTTCTGGGAATAAGGTGCTATGGACTGGGAGATGGAGAGGGAGCTTTTTAAAAGGCTAATGAAATATTTAAGTATGTTCTGAGAGGTCTTTGATTTTTCAGAAAATGTGTGAATTGTAGCCCTTCCCTTCACCCACTCTCTCTTCTTCAGTTTTCACTGTACGCTGAATATTTATGTAAAACCATTGGTAGTGCAAATTTGTCTGTTTCGATCCGTTTTATACTTTACTTACTAAGCATAGTGAAAAGGATGCACAGGATGGGCCCAAAGCATTCCTCTCGGGCACATTACAGTGTGTTTATCCTGTGCTAATCCTCTGGCCTSCTGAAGAGGGGCCCGTGCATATGAAGCTGAGTTCTGAGTGCTTTTCTGCTCATGCTGCTGGCTTCTAATTACGAGGCAGTAGATTTATGATAGCTCTTTGTTCCCACTGTGCTCCCATTTCCCTTGATATAGTTCTTTAAAGCTGCTTTTAAAGGGTTGCATCGCTCCTGCATATCAGGAATACATCTTAATCTGCTGCAGTCCTGCTCACCCAACACTGATTCTGCTCTGGTGATGGGCTCAGTTGTCATTACAGACATCTCCTGTTGGTCAGAGAAATCCCATTTTAAGAATCCRGCATCTGAAAACAGTGTGGACAGGGTTATCATGATCCTAACGGCTGTTTTGTGTTCAGACTAAGGTGAAAATCCCGTGATGTGCAACTTAGAGCTACCCTGATGGACACTCATGTAAATGAGAGCCCCGTGGAGCTCAGCAGTTCAGCTGGCTGATGTGACACGGCTGCTGCTCTGTGTTTCTTGGGAGGTCTAGCAAGTATATCTGCCATTCAACTGGTAATAAATGCTGTTTCTTACACTGGATGCTATGTGTCCAGAAACAAATCTGCAATTTATTCTGCATCTTGTTAAAAAGGGAGAGCTACCATCCTTGTACAGCAGTTCAGCTAGTACGAAAGTCAAGCTGTCAGATTCTTTAAAAGGATTAAAATGTTCTGTCGTTTAAGAAGAAAAGAATGTCTCGTTTGAATTTTTTGAACTTGACTTACATAATACAGAAAGAGCAGTTAAGCATAGTCCTATCACTTCTGCAGAATAAGTTTGCTCAAAACTGTGTCATTGTCTTAGTTCTTGCATAAAGTCAGTCCCTTGGTCTAAAGGGACTATAAAGTCATTGGTGCAAAAACACAAGATATTCTAGTGCACAAGATGTGGGAATGCTTCATTATTTAAAGAATCTACCACTTCAGGTTTGTTACATTTACTAAGACATACGCATTTTGATAATTAGCTGCAATTAATAATATGCGTTTAGTCTTTTCTTAGTGCTCGTATTTGGAGAAGGAGTGGATAAGGAAACACAAGTGTGAAAGAAGTAGATAAGTTGAATATATAGAAAGGAGTGGTTCATATTTAGTAGAAACACTAATATTTTTCTGCAGATTAAAAGAAGATAGAGAAGGTATAATGGCTGAGTTATGTTACTCCCTCCTAGAGAGTGTCATTTAGACAGTGGTGAAGGAGGAATTCCATACTAAAAGTTACTGAAGTACACTGAGGGGAAATAAGCAACAGAAGTGAATAATTAATGCAAAAAAAAACCCCCCAAAACCTATTTGTGGGATTGAATGAGCTTATTTGTATAATACTTAGAAACTCCGTTAACATGGTGTGGTAGAGTTTTCTTTTGTCACARACAATGAAGAAGTTCAGTTAGTTTTCCCAGTCATGAACATTATCAGAAAATGAATTTTCATTTCACATATGTAAGTATACACAGGAAGCTATTAAAAATACCTAATACAATGCTATTTGTATTCACTATATCTCAGAAATTATCCAGGATAAAAAGAAATAAATCCTAAAATAAGAGACAAAAGTAAGTTACAGAGCGCGCCGCTGTCTTGGCAATAGATATACACAGTACTGAGCTGAGAATACTGAGTTTCATTTCAGCTTTTTAGACAACACAAAACGATTATAATAAACTCTCGTGAATTGGAGCTCAAGAAAAGTGCTCCCTGATGATGATAGACAGAAGTGCATAGAAGAGAGCTCCGCGAGTGCCTGGCCTAGGGACTCTGGCTCTCCGTGACAGGACAGCGCTGGGGACGGAGCATTTGTCCCTGCGGCTCTGTGTACATTTCTGAGCGCTCGCCTGATCAGCAACAACGACACGTGTCCGCTCTGACCCCGTGTAGCTGAGCAGAACATGCAGCAGTTCCAGGAGGGCTTACATTTGCAAGAATATTTGTTCCATGAATAGAGTGGAGGATGTAACCGTCTCTCAGGCACGCTAAAAAGGGACTACRTTGTGGAAACGATCTGTTTGTGAAGGGTTATTATCTCAGATACAGGAATAGGAAACAAGCATCCCTTTACACAGGCTTTTCAGCTGAACACAGCCCAGATTTGTTATGTTCATTCTTTTCATCTCTCCTTTTTCTTTTCTGGCAATCCTATGTTTCTGGAAGCAAAAGTGCCAAAATCATTTGAGGGAAGCAGATTTCCTATCCTAAATGGCTTGTAAGTGGCACATGCATAAGCAAGTAGATCTGTATTGTTAAAAGAAGTTATATAGGCTGTCTCTGAAGACTCAAAAACCCAAGATAACTTGTGTTCCTGTGTGATGATATGGGGGATCATTGAAGTTCCATACAAGCTCTTTCCATAGAGTAGTGCCATACTGTTCCCACGTCCTCCTAGTGCGTTTGGGATCCTGTCTAGTCCACCCTTGCACTGCTGGTGCAATCCTTAGAGGAGAGAATTGGAAGAAATCTCTCTGTAGTTTGTAATTCTTCATATTAGAAACTCCTGCACACACTCTGGAACAAGTAACCTCTCTGCAATGCGTTGCCCTGTTCAGTTTTGAATAGCCTGTGATTTCCCTTGAATCCCTTGATGATCTCCAGTACCTTGTGTTTTGCCAGTGTCTCCTTTTTCTTCCTTATCTTTTTTTGTCCCAGAAATTTCTCTCCATATTGATTCATTTGAAGCTGTCATGACCAGCCTGAATGATCACTAACAAGTTAGGTAATTAAAAGAACCAAAAGTAGCCCTGTCCAGTGTTTCCCTTTTGTTTTGAATGCCTTGATTATGTTGATTTAATGAATCTGACCTCGTTAAAGTTTCACTCACTGGTGCCTGGAAAGCAGAAATTCACACAAAGAGCATGTTTATTCCTGTACCAGACTATGTTTTTGATCTCATGTAAATTCATTGTCTACCCTGGAATTCATTCCCATCCKAACTCTAGAAGGGAAAGCAGCACACAGGCTTCAGGATGCAGTTCATCTCCTGTGCCAGCTGTTACCTTTCATGTCTGCCTTATGCAGAAAAGCCGTCGAGATGCAGCTTTTTTGCTGGGACTTCTGCTCACTGAGCCTCTTCTATAGGTGAAGCAAAAAAGAAAACATCTTTACAGAACCACAGTCTATATTCTGCCTCAAAGTAAAAGCACAGTATACCTGCAGTTACATTCCTAGTCACTGATMAGGTTAAATTTAAGGTGTTGGAAGACGCAGGCCTGAGAGGCTTCGTGGTTTAACAGCGGGGTTGCCATCCTCACGCCTACCCGTGGCTCCTGCTGCTTGCCACGTGCTCCAGCCCCGTGGGACGTGGGGTGGCATTGGCCACGGTCTGCACCCGTCGCCAGCCCCAGCCAGCAGCTCGGGCCAGGCCCAGGCTCTCTGCTCTTAGTGGCTCCGCAGCAGGGCTGGGTTTCTCCCAGACACGAAGGGGAGACCCTGGAAAGTGGAGGGGGCACCACATTTCTGCCTAAATCCTATGCAAATAGTAATGCGCTCAGAGCTCGAGCGGTAAGCCCTTTTATGAGAGTGGAATTAGGCTTATTATATGCAAAGTCTCTCCTTTTTCCTGATCAAAGATGGGCTGCCAGAGCCTGGCAGAGCGAGTGTGATTTATGCTGCTGCTTYGCTAGTGGCTGATCTCGCTCCGTCTAGCACCTTCTCTCCTCGGCACGCGGGTGCCGYGGGAGCGGGCGCAGGAAAGGAAACCCTGTGGTGGCTGCTCCAGGATGCTCAGTCTCTCCAAACGCCACCCAACCATGCAGCACAGGCTGGCAGGGGACTCGCCAGCAGGTTTGCAGACCTTCCACGGGTGCAGATCTGCAGATGAGATCCAGCCAATTTGTAGGAGAGACGTCTCCGGGCTGCTGCACCGCAGGCTTCCACGGTACAGGGAAAGTTGCTTCTCTTTTTTAACACRTATTTGATTGTAGGAATGACTTGGTCATCATTAATTGATCGCACCAGATGAAACACATCCCGTGGTAGCTTTTGTGGCAAACGTTTTCTGAGTATGTAAGGGTACCTGGCAGAAGCCACTGTTGTCCTGACCTAGCAGGGTGGAATTGAGCTTCCCTCCCCACTTCTGCTCCTTGACCTTCGTCCCATCAACAGCAAAGCTCTTTGCTGGCTTGAATGAGTCCAGAGCTTCATCACTGGAGCTTGATGTCCATGGAAGACTAAATAGTCTTTCCAGCTACCCATGGATAACACAGTACAACACTGCTGTTAAAATATATATAGATGCCGACACACACACACACACACAGGTTTGCTTATGTGCAGCACACTAGTAGGTTCAAGTGATCCATCTTAGTTTTAAAAGCAGCATGTGCGTAGGGGTGGGTGTACGCTAACATGCTTTGGCAGGAGGAGAAATGCTTCTCCAGAGGCTGGGGATGTATGCTGAACAAAAGAAGAATATTAATTTGCCTGTGTAAAAGAAGCAGCTTCTTTACAGGCACATTAAAGGGTGGCTTATTCCTTGTTATTTACTTTGTATGTCTGTCCTGTGCTCCTGCAGAGCTTATGAGTCCCATCACTTAGAGCTTCCCAGGCAGGAGACCGAGGAAATGAGCTTGAAAGACAATTTCTTCCTTTTAATCAATACTAGCAGGGACGGAAGAAACAATGGAAAAATGCCAGTGGATCCTTTCTGGTTTTTCTTCTTAACTCGGTGGACTCTGGAGTGTTTTGCTGCTGTCAGATCAAAGGGTGGCTCTACTTCACTCGGCATTACAGGTCTTAGATCTTCCCTGCCTTGCTCTGCAAGTCACCAGCTCTAGTGGGAGAAGGGAGCCCTGTGAGTGCAAGGGGAAGCCACCCAGGTGGAGTGGGGAAAGGTGCATTTATAAAAGCTTGTAAAAAGTATGAGATTGCATCCTTTTACTGTCATTTACATATCTGAAATGGGAAAAAAATTTGGTGGGTAAGTGAGATATGTTGTTGCAATGCTTTCTTGCAGCAACAATCTCCATCCATGCCGTAAGGGGCTGCAAGGGGTAATGTGGCCAGTTCCATTCAGAGCGGTGCTGGCCAGGCCACCAGCTGAAGAGAGGTGGCCCTACTGCATAAGCAAGCCCTGTGCTACCTCTCTGGAAAGCTAAAGACTAGTAAAACCCGCCCAGGGCACTGTCCTRGACATGAAATTCATTTATATTTCACCCTGCCTGCCAAAGCGGGTCTAGGATTCACRTATTAACAGGTCTAGAATTGCACACAGTTGGGTGTGAAGTTTGCCTTGGTTCATCAATACAAGCAAGTTATTAGCCTAATAGGACCCTGGTTGTTCATCACAAGCTGACAGTGATGGCGTAGATTAGGACCTTAATCATTTTAAAGCCTAATATTTCATTACTTATCAAGTTGTGTATAAAGTTGGCCTGTGTAGTACGTTTTACTCAGCATGAAGCCTTTTCCTCATCTGCTCTTGGTTTATGTTATTCCTTATCACAGTCTGATTCATTCATCTGCCCCTCCAGGTTATTAAACAAATATGTTCACAAGCAGGAGAGAAGTGCTACCATTGGGGTTGATTCATGCATTTTTGGTGGACTTTAGAAATGCAGCAGCCTTTGGGCGATGGCCCTCCTTGCACACCCAGGCACATGAATCACGATGCACCAAGGCGAAAGAAAGCCCCGGGAAGACTCTTGTGCTCGGAGAAAGGGGGATCTGCCTTGTATGGGGCACTTGTTTGGCAAAATGAAGGCCAAGTGGGGTGCTTTTCTCCGTAGATACCTTAGTTAGTAAAAGAAGAGAGAAGAGTGCTGCTTAAGCCATCAGACACGATTTTTTACAAGAATAAATGCATGTAAAGTAGCCGTGAGCACATTTGGGTTGGTGTTTAGGGGTTCTGAGACATTTTAAACAGAGAAGATGGGAGGAGGAGAGTGTGATGGGTTTAAATTTCAAACCATTGGGAGCTGGATGGAGAACTGGTAGAGTCACAAGGGTTTTGGCAGCAGTGGGTCTCCGTGAGCAGCGGGGCAGTCACCAGAGCTGACTCCTTGGGAGCTCTGAATCCAAGATTTTTGTACCAAGAACATAGCTGCCGTGCCAAATCAATGCAGTAGCTTGGCTTTTTTTAGCTAGGCTTCTCCTAGCTGTCCTGGGATGTGTAAAAAAGATAAATGTTCTACTTTGTTTTTTGTTGTAGTGCTTAGCAGCTTGGAATAAGGTTTCATACCATGGAGTCTGTTTCCTAATAATGTCAAGTAATAGAGTCAAGTATGTAGGAAAAAGAACACCAAGGAACTATTTTAAGCRTTCCATGAAATCTGCCTCCGGCAGCAAGGAACAGATGTGTAAAACAAGACAATCGGTGGTTGCCTTATGCTGTGAAGATCTTTCTTTTGCAAACCTTAATCTTGTATAACCGCTACCAAGGCTGCTATTTTTATTGAAATTGCTACATTTTACTATCACCTACCCTATAATTTGTCGTTTGCTTGTTGTCATTCCAGAGAGTATTACAAGTTTTACTCCGTGCTGTAATCATTGCCTAATTAAAGCTCTGAAAACCTTTATAATGTACAGGTTTAACAGATGCTGTTTGATAGCGATTTCATTCAGTTTATCCAAACAAAAAAAGAGCCAGCAAATAAGATGTTTTCTTGAATCTAAATCTTTTGTAGACTAGAAATTGTGAAACTACAGAGCTGTTGTCAGCCCTGCAATGTGTCACAGAGGATGAAGAGCTGCTGTCCCTTCCTAAGAAAACTGTTTGCAGCCTGCGTTGAAAGTCCAATGGAAGATTTCAGTCCTATATCCTGAAGAGTGATTTTTTTTTTTTTTTTATACCATCAAGTCAGACTCAACCTGCAGACTTGAATGGTTAAATTCAAGGAGATGCAAGGAGATGAAATGAAGGAATTCAGATGTGTTTTGAGATGGTGTTGTCTGTCATTAAACAGCAGCACAGACTGGCACAGACCGCTGTTGGCCACACAGAAGAGAACAGGTGAAAGCTGGAGGAAATGGAAAAAAATACATATTTAAATATATGTAAAAATTAGTAGTCTTTTGCTCCAACCCCTTTCTCTATAGCTTATATATATATATAAAAAATCTCTTGTTCAGACATGCCATGTTCTGACGTGATAAAACTGGACAGGTACTGCTGAAGTGAATGCTTGGGGTCAGCCACAGGCAGGCTGGTGGTGAGCAAGGAATCCTCATCAAATTTCTCAGATCAGGCAGTAATTAGTAAGGTGCTAAAAATGAATTACAGCTGGAATTGCTAAGGAAATAGGCATAACTTTTAAAGATCCTTATTTCAAGTTCAGCAGAACACTGGAGGATGCATCTTCCAATTATCCTTCAAATTTACCTAGTCCACATTACTCACCAGCATCTTGGCATGGCTAAAACTCCATGCTGGAACTTAAAAATAGGGCAGAATCAGGTGCTGGTATCAAATCTCTGGCTCCTAACCTAAATCAGCCYCGTGCAAACAGTCTCTGTTGTCAGTGTGGGCCTGTATGTGTGTTCAATGTCTTTATTTGCTTGGGCTATTGCTGYATGCTCCCAGGTGGAGCGCACGCAGGGGTGTTTTCCATAGAATAAACTCATAAGATCCAGTGAGGTCTTGAAGGAGGTGGTGAGTTTTGCAGACAGTTCATAAACCTGTTCATAAGTATTGCCACTTAGAACTGTTTATCCTTAAAACAAAGGATAAAAAAATCTGTTCAAAAATCTTGAAATATTAATGCTCTGTGTTTTTAAGATTCCTCAGTCCTTTTGGGGACAGGCCTTTTGGGGCTCTTCAGCATTTATTTCCTATGGTGACATCTAAACCTGCATTATTCTGGGGCAAGCTCCACTGTTATATGTTTATGTCTTGGGATGCAAATAGCCAGTGTTCAGAGTAATTCTCAAAACTTGAAATCTGTTCAAGTTATACCAAAATAAGGATAAAATGCACTTTTTCTGTCCTACATAAGGGACATCTTTTTCCCACTGTTTAAAGTGCTTCTGCTGCTCTATGAGGAACTCTGTCCAACAGCACAGAAAATAGCGTGCAGTAAAAGAACGGATTTAACTACACGCCAACTGCTGTCAAATATTTTTTCAGCCTAATCTCTTTCAGCTACAGTAATCTCAGCTGCTGGTTGTAACGATGGCAGGTAAGTCCAATTTCAGACAAAAATGTGACCTTTCAGTTGACAGGGTGCTCTAATTGGTTTCAGTGATAGACCCCTGCGCAAGCGGGAACGGCGGATGCTCCCAGATCTGTCAGAATGAGGGAGGTGCTGCAAAGTGCGAGTGCCATCCAGGGCATTACCTGTCTGCAGACAGAAAGTCCTGCTTAGGTAAGAAACTGCGTGCGGGCTATTTATTGGGAAGGACAGGTGTTATTCCATATTCTGCCTTACTGAGTTTGCATGGAAGCGGATATGTTGTACAAATTTATGTGTGCATTTTGAAACAACGGTATTTGTGATATTTTTATCAGCCGATAGTCTTGAAAAACCATTTTAATATTGGAAATTATATAATCCCTTAAAGCATGCTTTCTAGCAATTAGATTTATAGATTCAGTAGCATTGTTCTTGTATGGTCCCTTTAAAATAATGCCCCAGATACAGCTCCTGAAAAATTGGTTCAAGTAACACTCTGAACCAGGTCACTGAAAACCTATTTAGAATTCAAAAGGCTTTTTAGCTGSAGAACTGTTTCCATATTAATAGAGAAACTACTGTGAAGAAAAAAATAGCAAAGTCCAAGATTTCCAGAGAGCTTCAAAAGTTGAATTCCAAAGTCCCGTATTTAGTCTTGGATTTTCAAAAGGATCTAAAGGATTTCAGACACCAAATCTGGGGGAATTAAGGACCAAAGTAACTGCTTTTCTCTTCTAAAGTGGTGCTTGGAAGCCACATAGTTGATCAGTTTTATGAAGAGCCAAGCACCTGTGGGCTTCCAGTGAACCAGTTTTGAACAGTATTGTCAAAAGCAGGGTGCATATGCAGGCAGTGATTCTGAATTGCTCTGTTAGRAAAATTGGTCAGGATTTTAAAGAGAGTTAAGTCCTTGTCTGAGGCAATGTGCTGAGCATTTAACAAAGTACTTGCTTCTTGCCCTGGGTATTTTACTGAACGGCCTGCMCGCCTCCTGGGAGTAGCACTGCACACCTACGTGGTTCCAATGTTTTTACTGGGTTTACTCATCTCAGTTAAGTTATTGACCAGCTAAAACATCCCCAGGTACCGTAGACACTGCTATGATGATTAATAGGTGCAAACAGCAGTAGATCTAATAACCTGGATCAGAACGTTAYTCATTTTATCTTGGGTACACGTTGACAATTGCATTAATTTATGTATAACCTAATATGCCAGATAACTTCTAGTGCTGTATGTAGGAACAAATTTTCTTCCTGACCTCATAGCAAGTCTTGAATCATGAATCATTAAGCTTCATTTCTTACTGTGAATCTTCAGCTATTGGTTTTGCTGCTGTTCGATGCCTTTTGCACAATTCAGGCTTGTATTTGATTTTTGAGAAACTAAGTTGGGAGGGGGCAGAGGACAGGGGAGTTCATACTGCAGTTACTAGCCATATTTACAGGATATGAAGAAATGCATGCAAGGTGGCAGCTGTGGTATGATTTTCCATAAAGAAAACCCAAAAAGAACACAGAGAAAAACCAAAAAGAACATTTACAGCATTTGCCAACATATTCTGCTTGAAAGGTGGCAATTAATTAGAGGGCATAAAAAAAGGGGAAAAATAACCCATCTTATTCGAAGCTGCAACTGCACACACTGCTGCTTCAGAGAAGCTGTCATTCACTCTTAAATTTTCATGACCTCATGAAAGGCTTTTGCCTCGGGCCCCTTTGGCAAGTAGGCTGGGTTGTATCCAGGTATCTTCGTGTGCTCAAGGGCAGGAGTCCCTGAGAAGAGCAGACAGCAACTCCTCCACTCCCTGTGCAGGACCAGCTCTAACGTATATAGAGAAAAGAAACTGCTAGGAGGTGGTTTRCTATGGCAAGACGTAACGATCCACATACCTGACAGTTCTGTCCCGTGGGAGGCTCTGACCCATGGTCTTTGCAATTAAAGATCTGCCATTTTCAAGCAAAACATCAAGAGAAGATGCAAGAGAAGGAGCAGGAAGGCGTGTAGGTGTTTGGCACATGGAAGACGATGCCAGCCTTTGTGCAGAGGCTTTTCTGCAGCTACACTCTCCAGCAGCAGTATTTAATATATTTTTTTAAAATTATTCCTTAAAAGAACATTCTCGTGTTCTTCCAACTGAGCTTTTAAGAACATAGTTGTCTTTAGTGGCATTTATCTGCAAATGCAGACTACTGATCATACAGAGGAGGAACAGATTGGCTTTGAGAGGTCTCTGAGAAGAACAAGCTTCCATGCAGAGCTCCTCACCCTTCTTTCCTTGCAGGTAGGGGTGACACCCCCTTGGTTGTGGCAGGTGCCTCCCTGCAGGACTTTATAGGGAAGAAACTGCAGAAACAGCAGYAATGACTGCAAATCATATGTCACTGATGAAATTATCAAGTTTTCCTTTTCCATGACAATTTAAATGACATGGCTGTGAGGACCTAGTGGTGTTTTTAGGGAACTAGATTTTTTTCTGAGTTTTCCAAGTTCTTCAGGTGGCTGCTATTGCTCTTGCTGTCATTACAGAAACAATCAGCAAGCCACCCTACAGTATAGAGTGTTTATATAGAACATAAATTCAGAGCTTAATATTGTAATATTCATTTTGAGAGGTTCGGAGTCAGAATGCAGACAAAAGCATGGCCCGTTTCAACAGAGAGGTAGGTAGAGATTGTTTGACCTAMTAACACTGTGCAAGAACTTTCAGCAGAATTTCCTTAGGAAAATATCTTGTATGCCAGAGAATGAATGCATTCATTAAGAATTTATGTATAAGAAGGGAATAAGGAAGAAAATCAATTTCAAAGCATTGACATAAACTAAAAACAAAACCCAAGCATTAGAGAGAGATACTGGAGAATTATTTTGTAGGTCATTACAGAAACAATCAGCAAGCCACCCTACAGTATAGGGTGTTTATATAGAACATAAATTCAAAGCTTAATATTGTAATATTCATTTTGAGAGGTTCGGAGTCAGCAGTTTCAGGATCAAAAAACATGACTATTTTCTAGAATGCTGCCGTGGATTTAGCATTTCTGGATTCATTAGATACTSCCACATGCAGACTAACATCAAGACGCTCTTCCCGGTGGACACTGGCAAACGGATCCACATGGCACGGAGCGGTGCCGTGGTTTTTCCCAGTACCCAAACGTGTCTCTGTGCTCCGCAGACGTGGATGAGTGCGCGGACGGGGCAGCCGGCTGCGCCCACGGCTGCGTGAACGCGCCGGGATCCTTCGCGTGCGCCTGCAAGCCCGGCTTCGAGCTCGGCGCCGACGGCCGGCAGTGCTACCGTAAGTGACAGCTCCGCAGCCGCGCTGCCCTCCGCCGGGAAACGCTCYGCTGCTTTCCTAGTTCACCTAGGTTAGAACTCCCTGCAACATAAACGCGTGCACGAGCTCAAGCTTAATATTATTTCCTTTGTCATGTGCTGCAGCCACTGTTGCGGTTGATACATTCCTACGCCTGTGCTCACAGTCCCTAATTATTGCATTTGAAAGAGCAAATAGTCCTGCTGCTTTCTTTTGAGCAAATAATGAATTTTATTCCAGAGCTACCCAAAATATAGCTGTTCTATGAAATGAATTTATTCCTGTCCCCATCTCCTTTTTTTTTTTTTTTTTTCTGGATCTGAAGCAAGGGAAAATCAACTTGATATTCTGCTTTTGTCGTTATCTGTCAGTGTTTACTGGCATTTCTTCCTGAGATTATTGACATCATTTAGCAGATCCTATAAGGAAGCAAATTCTGCATGAGAAAATTCATTGTACGACTAAAATTTCCCAAAGTACCACATTGATGAGCCCTGTTGTCTCCCCTCACATACTTCACACTTGCCAGAGGGATTTATTTTTGAGGATTTTGTTGAGAAGAGGACTGACTTCTAGTCCTGGCCTGCCCTTGAGGGTAAATTTAGATTAATACAGGATGTGGTGTGGAAGAGGTGATGTTATTACGGACCTAACATAAGCTCACTGGAATGCAGACAAAAGCATGGCCCGTTTCAACAGAGAGCTAGGTAGAGATYGTTTGACCTACTAACACTGTGCAAGAACTTTCAGCAGAATTTCCTTAGGAAAATATCCTGCATGCCAGAGAATGAATGCATTCCTTAAGAATTTATGTATAAGAAGGGAATAAGGAAGAAAATCAATTTCAAAGCATTGACATAAACTGAAAACAAAACCCAAGCATTAGAGAGAGATACTGGAGAATTATTTTGTAGGTGATGTGGACCTGGGAATGGTGCAATGGCAAAGGAAGTACAACTAGTGCATAGATAGGAACTGACCTGTTACTGAGACAGTAAAAGTGGTTTAAACTGTTTAGGCTTTCTTGTGATTTTCTGAGAATGTTTTTTTGAATGTTCAGCAAGTGTCTGTGGTCCTGTTTCTTTGTGCCTTATGTACGACATTAGGTAACAAATCCTACAAATAAAAACATCCTGCATATACTTTTGATCAGAGTTACTACAGCTTTTGAGCAATTTGCAATCTTTGTTTATTCTCCAGAGCCTTAGTGGAGTTACCAGAGGCAGAAGGAGCTGCCGTCCATCAAAGGCCCAAAACATGCAGGATTTGTTATATGCTCCTGGTTTAGATATCAGCCTTGGGAGCTGAATTATGCCGTTAAAATGTCAAAGACATTTGTGTTTGCTGGGTGTTTTATAAACTGCCTCCCACTCACATACAAGTGAAAAAGCAGCTTTTTTGGGAAATGGCATAGGCAGATTCATCTGTCTGGGTTTCTCAAATGCTTCCTTCTCTCTTTTGGAGCAAGGGCAGAATTCATTACTATGTTCAAACAAAACAGAAATCTGCAGAAATATGTAAACAGCCCTATAAGAGGTCGACTGCAAAACTGGTGASCCAGGTTCACGTTACTGAGGTCCAGACTATCAGCTGTTAGGCCACAAGACGACGTGCAGCCAGCGTTCAGTGATTCAAACCCCCTCTCTTCCCTGGTGTGTGCGCTCCCTTCGTTTGCATTCCCTGCTACAGCAGCCAGCTTAAGGATGCTGTTTCATGGCAGGGTTATTCTGCAGTTCCCCTCCTCCCGTGCTGGCTTTTTAACATCCTTTTGATTTGTGTCTCCTCGAGGCATCGAAATGGAGCTCGTCGCTAGCTGCCAGGACCACAACGGCGGGTGCTCGCAGCGCTGCGAGAGCACGAGCGCCGGGCCCCGCTGCTCCTGCCGCCTCGGCTTCCTGCTCGCGCCCGACGGCAAGACGTGCACGGGTAGGTGAGACGTGCACGGGTAGGTGAGACGTGCACGGGTAGGTGAGACGTGCACGGGTAGGTTCACGTGGGCCTGCCTCCCTTCAGGGCAAGGGAAGGGCATCACGGGCCTGTCGAGACAAAGGAGGTCTCTCCTCTCCCCTTCTCCTACAAGTTTTAATCGGTATCGTCCTTAGTGTCTCACTCGCCTTGCCATGTGTTTTTGGTGGGATTAGTCATTTATGAGAAGAATGTCTTCCCAAATTGAGAACGATGCTTCTGTACAACTTCCATAGTCGGGGCCGTGTCTCACGTGTGCAGCCCAAGCCTGGGTTTTGCGCAGCTTGGTTTTCCCCGTGCTCCTGAGCCAGCGCGTGGAGGAGACGCCTGGCTCTGCTCGAGTGCAGAGCCTGCTTTTCAGGAGGGCTTCACGTGCAGGCTCCGCTCTGCGTGGTGCAAGTGGCTCCATTTCCATCCGATTGACTCACTGATGCCTTTTCACTTCTGGCTGCGTGAGAAGTTACACTTCGGAATTGAAAGCAGTAGAATTTGATTTGTTTTATTTCAAGAGAAGAGCTTAAAAATTCCTTCATGTTTCATGCAATTTTACAATGTGATTTTTCTGTGTTTATAGCTTTTGCTATGCAAACTGTATTTCATACCCTTTTAGAATTTCTGTCTCTGTGCCATAAAAATGTAAAGGATAGCCAAGACAAGAAAACAACCCCAAAGGAAATAGGCTTCACAGAAACRTGTGGTGAGATCTGAAGAGAGATAGAAGACAGGAGGTCTTACAAATAGGAGAAGCATTGCAGACTTGTGCCAAAACAYGTAAGGACAGACACACTGTAAGGCCTGTAAGCCTGGTTGATAGTGGAGCTTAAAATAGGAAAGAAAAAAACGCAGGAAGGCAGATTGGGACCCAGACCTGAGCAGAGACCAAATGAAGTGGTCTTACCCTGTCTGCTTTCTCTGTCTACGTGAAAGGACTTAGTTCTGCCCAGGCTGCAGTTCAGAGACCTCCTCACAGAGGTGCAGAAGGAAAGCAGTTATTCTGGCCCCAGCAAGGGAAGTGAGAGCATAGGTGAAGATTTTGGCAAGGCTGAGGAAGAGGAAAGCTGTTCTTATCAGAAAAAAAGCAGCCTTATTTGTTGGATGCACATTTCACATTCCCACACAGATGACCAGCTCCTAATAGAACCCAGAGCAAGCTATCAGCTGAAATATCACAGAGAAACTCTGCTTGTGACATTTCTGGAAAACATGCCACGTTCAAATAACCTGCATTAATCATTTTCACGCTGACCTCTTCACCTCAATTGATTAATTACATTTTTCTCCTCCTCTTTCTGTTGTCAGTGTTTCTAATCAGGCCAGTACTCTTTCCAAGGTTAATTGAGACACTGACCTCTCACATCTGTGGTGGCTCATCTAGGTAATGCTCAAAAGCCTTCTGCAAGCTCAGCACTGACAGGGTACCCCTTGAACAGCTACTGAATTGCTCCACAGACTGCAAGGGCTGGTATCAGCCTGCAGTTAACAGATAGCAGCTGGGTTCTTGTATCAGACCATAGCACAGCAGCTCCCACCATACCCATTTCCACACAGACAACAGGCACCATGAAGCAGTGGCCTGGTCATTATTGGCCACAGAGCCAGGAGGAGAAGCTTTTGAAGCTGAATCCCTAGCATGTTTCCTAAGAAGAGCTTCAGCAGCCATGTGCCAGCTCTGCTGATAAGGCTTGCAAATGCGATTGCACTTTTATAACTGGAATCCAATAACTCAGCATCACACTGGGACAAGTGGGGCCATAGGAGACAGGTCAGCACAGGGAGCTTTTGCTTCTCTGTCTGCATACACCCTTTGCTGACACATTTTAAAGGCTACTTCTGCCAAAGGAGAGCCCCCAAAACTAGCCAAGGATCATCAGCTGAGCATCACAGCTTAAAGCGGCTGCTTCTATTTAAGACAAAAATATGGCTGAGATAATCTATTCCATGCTGTCCTGAAATACCTTTAATATTTTCAATTCAAGAGAGAAACAGAGAGCCCCAAAGTACTAAGAAAGGAGGGTTTTTCTATGTCTAGGGTAATTTTTCAGATGCTGCTAGGCTTAGACTATACTCTGCAGTCAGAGGTACTCGGGCCTTAACRTTTATAACTTAAGTTATAAATAGTTATAACTTATAAGTTATAACTTAACATTTATATTTGGTTTCTAGATGTGGATGAATGTGGTCTGCATAATGGTGACTGCGCCCATTTCTGTGTGAATTCTCTGGGATCCTACGAATGTGCATGCAAGGAGGGCTACAGGCTTGCTGTTAATGGGCAGTCTTGCATCCGTAAGTGTTTTTYACATCTTGAAGGCTTTTAAATATTTCGCACTGCAAATATGAATTCAGAACCAGGGTTTGCAGAGACCTTGGGATTTTGGCCGGCCAACTCGAGCCATCTTTCTACATGGTCTGTACGGTGCTATAGACAGCAAGGAGATCCCAAGTTCATATTCAAACAATTGACTTTGCCAGAAATTAATGGAAAGTGAGCATTTATATCCCCTGGACATGTATGAAGGCATAAACCGTCTGTTTGTAGAAATAAATACTATTTTGACAGTTTTCCGTACTGTTTTATCAAGAAATTTAATATCCTGTGGCAGCCAAAAGAAAAAAAGGCCAAGTTCTGCTGGGATGAACTAGTGTGAGTTTTTGCTGAGGTCAATGGTGCGATTCTGGATTTCTGCCAATGTAACCATAAAAAAAAAAAAAAAGCCTTTTTGAAGATGAGTTGAAAAAAGAAAACTTCACTCTGTGTTTTTCATCTCCAAAATAAGCTAAAGTAATGACTTAAATATAGATATCCTCAAACTTTAAATAAGGGAGGTGAAACTGCCAACTGCAAAATTTGATGTGGTAATGAAGGTGGCCTTGACCTGAGCTCCAGATCCAGAGTTTACTTCCCAAAGAAAGAGAAGCATTCCCTTTCTTTATCTCGGATAACAGAAACTCTGTTCCTGAATGCAGAACATGAAGTAGCTCAGTTGAGAAACGCGACAGAGAAGTTGTAATGGGGGAAGGTGTCACGAACGGGGTCCTSATGCCACGTGTGTCCTAGCGCTCGGCAGTGCCGAGGTGGACGCGGACGTGGCCTTGGTGGCGGTTCCTGGCCTGCAGTTCAGGCACCCTCCGCAGCTCCTGCACTACGCGCTCGCGCTCAACGCCTTCCGTGAGGATGAAGAGGAGCGAGGAGAGCTCACGCTGCTGCACAGGGCTGGTGAGTGCTGGTTTTGATCCTCCTAATGGCAGCGGATGAGGGGAATGTTCTCGGAAGGATCGGGGCCCGCTGATATATGTTGTTCTGTGTTCTCTTCCCTTGAGTAGGACTTCTTTGGGCACTAGGGAGAAAGGCTCCCATCTTGGCAGCTCTTCCTGGCATCTGCTAGGGAGAAGATGGGGAAGCAAGAAGAGGGAAGGAGAGGCAAAGCAAGCAGCATGCCAGTAAGAGATGGGAGACTTCTTCAGAAAGCAGGAGGTGTCTCCAAAGCCTCAAAGCTTATGGGGAGAAAGATCCTTCCCATGCTGCCAGAGCAGAAACTGTGCAGAGTTTATTGCAGGGCACAAAATCCACGAAAGGCTGTGGGCTRAGAGGGAGACCATGGGAATATCCCTCTCACTCCCCTTCCCACTTTCGTCAAGTTGGGCAAAATGTGGGAGTTAGTTATTTATAAACCCTTCTTTTAGTCTACTTGGAGAGTAGATCAAATATCTACTATATCACGAATATCACAATCAAATATTAATTGACCAGTTTTTGAATGTTATATTCAAGTCTAGCCGCATCAATTTGGGTGCTATAACTCAGTGCTGAGCATCTGTACTTTTTCTAAATTGAGAATTGAAGATATTTGATTGTTTGTGGGCAAAGGTGATGAAGGAATGAAGCTTCTGGTGGCTGAGTAAGTTCTTTTACCTCTCAGATATTAAATTATTCTTTATACTTTCAAATACAAATTAACAGAAGCCCTCTTTAAACAACAAGCTATTGCAATTGATTATGGTTTTCTTTGGTGTGGATTGAATGACTTTTTTAATGTGGAAAAACAATGTTTTTAATGACAATTTGTATTCTTTTGTCTTGATACGAGTTTTCAGTATGTTTAAAGTGAGCGCACTGGAATTCTGCTTTGGAATGCTTGGGTGTTTGTTCAGATCTATAAAAGGAAACAGTTGGGTGCAGAGACCTGGAGGAAATCTGGCCTTACACAGAAAATTGCTGCTGAAAAGCAACCAACCTGCTGGTTATTGTTGGCTGAAGTAGTCTGCCAACTTGCTTTCAGGTGTTTTTCAAAATTCCCTTCCAAAAAACCTCCGGCTACATCCATAAAACCTGTCAGGCAATAAACTGAGCATGTGGTTAGGATCTGAATGTCACAGAGATATTTTAGCAAAGACTAACATTTACTTTCCGTGCCTTTGTTAATAGACACTGCAGAGGGAGGGCATGAGAGTGCATGAGCGTGTGCGAGTTATCTGTGTGCAAGAAGGAAAAAGAAAGGAGGGAAAGTGAGGGAAGAAGGTCATTTTCTTATTTCTTAGTTCTTCCTTAAAATGTATCCTTTTTCATATCCAGAAGAAAAAAAAGGAAGTAATAAATGTGTTATTCTTATATTTTCCTAGAATAACTTAAGTTTTGCTGTTAAAAATATCACTTGGTTATGCTTATATAGCATAGCATCCACCTACTGCAATAAAATAACGAAATGAAGAGCCTTGCAAGGAATTAAGATGTTCCTGTACTGGGGAATATTTTAAATATACAAAGCTAACCATTAGATGCAATTTCACTGTTTCTGAAGACAAAGTGGTTTTAAACATGATTTTAAGTGCTTTCTGAGAATTACAGTATATAAAGGAATAAATTCCAGCTGAAGTCCCAGCTTTGTCTTCATATAGACCCCTAAATTTGAAGAAGAAGATTGGGGCAGCTCCATTTGGCCCACCTTTTGGGATGCTCCAGTGGTGTTCAAAATTACCATTTTGAAACTACAACATCAGTAGTTTTTGTTGAGGCTGTCAGTGCTCTGCACATGTCGTTTTGGCACTTGTGCCTCGGGAATGATAGGTAGGAGCTTGTGAGGTCTTCTCTGCATGCTCACTGAGCCTCCTGTATTTTTTTTTCATTTCAGTTTGCCTTGATAACACTTTTGGCAGTGACTGTAGCTTGAGCTGTGCAGATTGTCTGAATGGAGGGAAATGCAACGATGAGAAGAGTGGCTGCATTTGCTCACCTGGATGGAGTGGCATTATCTGTAATGAAAGTGAGTACTGGATCGTTGGCTGGCATTTGAATGTTAGGGGCTTTGTCCTGATGCTGTGACATTGTAGGTGAGTGGGACRTACGTAAGTACAACTATCACACTTTTAATCAGAAAAGCTCTTCAAGGAGTACAACTGTCTCATTGGCAGATCAAAACTTCATGATCAAAATTTTATTATAGCATGGTGCATTAAATTCTAAGAGATGCTGCATGATAAAACAAGAACCCTCATGCAATGAGCTAAACAGGACACCTCCTTTTTACAATCTCAAAAACATTGCCCTGTTTTTCCTTGCATTGGTAGACTAGGACCTGTTCTCTTCTTGTCTTTTTATTTTAATATATTTTCTTTTATTATTATTTAACATGATTTCCTTGGGATATTAAAAATATCTTTTAAAAGAAATGTTTGAGATGGAGACCCTTTGTGTTCACGGTATATAGTGTGATGGTCCGTGGCAGTAGAAATTGTCATTGCTGCCTTGTCACTGATGGGACAAAAAATAGTTGTCCCATCACCAAAAAAGAACTATTATTTAAATAGCATTGGTCGATAGCGAGCAGTCTTCAGGTTGATCGTTGTCAGATTTGCTTTGTAGGCAAAAGATAAAAATGAAGAAACAACAGAAAATGACTGAAGTCAACCATCTGCCTGTGGCTATTTGGGAGACTAATCTTTGATTAGGTTTGTAAATACTGGTTACAGATGAGAGAATGGGAATAAAGAGGACTAAAATGGTAATTTCTAGTCCACATGAGACACTTCAATGTGTCAGGTTAGGATGTTTTTACTCCCTGGTACTGTCATGGTTACAGATAGATGATGACATTTTCAAGATAGAATTCAAATTRCTTAGTTCATAAATAACGATTTTTGTTCTATATTTAGGATAGATTTCTGTGYTTGTAATCTAGCGGAATTCTTTGGAACTTAAGGAATAATGACTAATGAAACGGAATTATTAGTCAAACCTGCAGTCCTAGCAAGTAGGCACTGACAGAATAAACACAACATTTGGTCTGTATGGGTTAGTCATGCTTTCCGTATTTTTTTTTTCTTATTTTCCTAAAATACAGCATGGTTCATGGTTTTGGGGAAAATGTAATGGTTGAGAAAGCTGGAACTAAATTTCTGTAGTAATGCACAAAAGAAACTGAAAGGAAATTGATRTGAAGTGTCAAGTTTCTTAATGTACATTGATAAAATGTCAGTTAAGTCAGATGATTCCTGCAACGGCTTTTACTCAGCCAGCTCAAGCTGCAAATAATGGAGCAGTGGTCAAATTCACCATTTCTTTTCCGTGGGAGCAGTTTAAGCTTTGGGAAGGTATCCCATGTTGTTATGGATCCGTCTCTATGCATGATTCTCTGTGGAATTTCGGAGACACTAAGTATTTTAGATAATTATAGCGTGATTTTTATAAAGGCATTTGGGAGAACAAAAAATGATGTGTAAAATAGTTATATCCAAATATACAAAATTGTGCTTTGATTTGAAACTTTGAACTTCATATGCAGAGTTTYAGAAGACTCCTGCATTATTTGGAGGGGAGACTGTATGGGGGAGATTTTGGATATTGAAATTTGGCRATTCCTGCAGGTAAGAAATCATCCAGCAAATATTTACTGGATACTTACCATTGCGTATAGAAAGAATACGATGTATTTTAGAGCCTGCTTGACTAAAGCAATTTTCCCATTGCTCGACTGGGATGCTGGAAGTCTCAGTTCATTTTGAGCAYAGGGGAAAACAATTCCTTTGCCCTTCCATCTTCCCTCCTCTCTCCACAGCTTGCTCCCCCGGGACGTACGGGACAGACTGTGCTGGGATCTGCAAGTGCCAGAACGGAGGTTCCTGCGACCCTGTGACAGGGCAGTGTCGCTGCCCGCCCGGYATCCGTGGGAAGCTCTGTGAGGAAGGTAGGAGCTTCCAATGAGTTSCTCCTTGTGCAGGTGTAAATGTCCAAGGGCGTCCTCTGGGCCCAAGTTAAAATAGAGCCCACTCTACAAGATCTAGTGTAAGACAGAGGGGTGCCTTGCTGTGCTTTTTATGTAAGTAATAGACAAGAAAAATAGGAGAGAATATGTAAAGATGGGCCACAGAGGCAGCAGCCCCATGCTCTGAAGGGGTGTCCGTGCTTTGATGCTTAACCACTGACGTGATTTGACCTTCCTGCCCTCAACAGGCTGCCCCAAGGGCTTCTTYGGGAAGAGCTGCACCAGGCCGTGTCACTGCGCCAGCGGCGGCCACTGCCATCGCCTCTACGGAGCCTGCCTGTGCRACCCCGGCCGCTACGGGCGCTTCTGCCACCTCAGTAAGTCGCAGGAAAGCAGAAGGGACGGGTATTTTCTCTCAGTTTCCCCTTAAAGAGGCTTTTCCTTCTGCATGGGCTTCCTAACAGAGGCATCCGAGTTTTGTCCCTGCAGCGGGAGTGTTTTCACATGCTGATGCTCACGAGCACCGGCGGTGCTGATGCACCCATGAGTAATGGCAAAATGTAAAATTAGAATAAAAGGAATCAAAGCATAAAAACATTACAAAATAGGTGGTTAAATTTGTTTACGCTTACAGCTTCTGTTTGAAAAATACTAAAGACTAAAAATAATTGTGTGTTTTTTTATGAAAGCTTTTGTCTTGGAATGAATGCAAATATTTTCCATTCAGAAACTTCAACTGACTTTGCTTTGAAACATATCTGGTTCCTTCACCGCGGATTGCTTGAAATCAAATTAATTACCTTCTCTAGGAGTCATGTAAACTGTATTTTACACACCCACACATTAATAGGCATCGTCATGTGAATGTGGAGGGATTTGCTGAGGAGCACAATGAACTTTTTTGCTTTGCAGCAGTTGCATTCTGCCGAAGTGTGCAATTTCAAATAACTCATGCATAATTACAGAGTTAATGATTCCTTTTAATGTGGCTGCAGCGTGTCCCAGGTGGGCCTTTGGAGCGGGCTGTTCGGAGGAATGTCAGTGCGTGAAAGCGAACACGCTGGAATGCGACACAAGGAACGGGGCCTGCACCTGTAAACCCGGTTATCAAGGCAAAAAGTGTCAGAAAGGTATAATAGAAAGCCAGATTCTCTTTTGTCTGGGTATTCTTTTGTCCTGTATCACTGTTTCCCAGTCATCCTCCCTTGTGAGCTTGCTGCTGCTGCAAATGCTCTCTGCTAATTAGTTTGTCTGCAGCTTTGCRTGTAGCAAATTCTGTGAGTGCCTGATGTCACACAGTGCTGATATCGCAGAGACATCTGTACGAACACAGTTTAAGGCTGTARTAGTTTCGGCTTGAATGACAATAGAATTTGAGAAACCAAATTCCTACAACTGAAGATACTGAGAATTTTCACTTGATTTCTTTTTTACATAGTAAATTGTGTGTTTTGTGTCAGCAGAAAATATTGGTAAATGATTTCAGTAAGGCTACTTTCCTTTCAGATGTGCAGGTCTTTGAATTTTTCCTGTTTTCTACTTTTGAGCGTAGTTCCAAGAGAATTCCAAGCCGGATTCATGCTGGCGTGGCTCAGCAGCCCTCTGCAGACAGCGAGGGAGCAGAGCAGGAGGGATGTTCTCGCATGGTCCTCTCCCTGCTCTCCAGCCACACAGTGACGGGCCAGATTTATAGTACTAGTTCTGGGGGATTTGGTGGATACCTTTAGCATTCTTGCTACTGTACTAAATTCTGGGGGAAAAGGCCCTRTTCCAGCACTGAATTTTTCCTAAATACAGCAGCAGAAAGTGAACAGATGAGAAGATAATGGATTTTGTAACTGCTCTGTATTTGAAAGTAATCCTAAATGTTCTGCAGCTCTGTTTCTGCATTCTACCTGAGCAGTAATCTCTTTGAAATGTTCATGAACATGTATGTTTAAACTTACATTATCAGCACCCCTAAAATTCACATTTTAACAGTTTTTCTCCAAATTGCTGCCTGCTTATTTTATGAGTTTTGTTCAGTTTTCTCAGCTCCTCCTCCTCCTTGCACATGTTTTGTATTTATTGCATTTTTTTCAGAGTGCATGCCTGGCTTTTACGGAGCTGGTTGCAGACTGCAATGCAGTTGTCCTGCTGATGTTCCCTGCGATCATGAGACGGGAATCTGCAAGCACCAATGCCCGCCTGGTTTTCATGGAGAAAAATGCCTTTTACGTAGGTACTCGATGCATATTTCCCTGGGAGGTACACAGTGGTTGGGAAAGCTGTTCACAGTATCCTGCTCACGTGCAGGGGCTGCAGGCAGGCGAGAGGCTGCATTTGCTGTTGATGCAAGTGACGGTGCTGGCTGTCACCCCTGATACAGGATGGAGAATATGTACGTAGGCACAGGGCTATTGAGTTCATCTAGAAGACACATAGGACAACTGGATTTAGTAGGAGACACATTGCTGTTCTTCATTGGTGTTGAAGGGAGGCTGTATTGCAAACCAGCAATAAGATCTGTTGTTGAGACAGGAAAAGTGCTGTGTGATTTTACATGCCCCCCAAAGACTAAGGTGAAAGATTAGGGCACTTTACTAGTACTATTTATTTAGCCAGGTAACTGTATTTCTTTGTCAAGCTTCAGGCAGAAGCTTTCCAGCCCTGTGTTGCAGGTAATTACAAACCACAGGACACTGATGCTAACACAGATCACTCTCTGCTAACACAGCTCAGTTTCAAATTGCTGTTGGTGGCACCTCCTAATATTGAACATTTTATACTCACCAAATCTTTGGATTTCTTTTGAATAGCTTGTCAGCCTGGGAGGTTTGGTGTCAACTGCAAGCAGAGCTGCAGCTGTGGAGAAGCATCGTGCGATTCAAAGACTGGGCAGTGTATTTGCCCAGCTGGGAAAACCGGTGCTGCCTGTGACCAAGGTGAGTTTGCTTTTTGGCTAGGAGCTTGCTTGCTTTGGAGATGCATATACAGTGCTTCAGGAGCTGCTGAATAAGACATTCTTATGTCACAGGTATGTAAGGATCACAGAAAAGCTCTATAGAAAAATGAAGCAATATTCTTTATGAATTATTTTGTTCTAATCATCTTTTTCCATTTTCTGATGAGATGCCGCCAACTTCCATTATATGTAGTTCTGTGATGTTCCTGTTGCGTTTCTTTTGTTCCTGCAAATTCTGTGGGATGAAATTTACTTGCACCTGGACAGAGGGAATGGGAACTAGAAACTGGCCAAAGCAAAGTACGGACCTATGAGAGATGCATGTGTTTCTGACACCAGCTTACCTAGAAATGCAGTCCTTTAAAGGAGGAATATACTTTCTGCTATTCAGCAAAGCAAAAATACAAAAGCACRATCCTACTCTCCTGCATCTCTCATCAGTCTACTGTCCCACTTCTCTTCTATTGAGTGCAGTAATTCATTTTTCAGATATGTCTAAATGCTTCCGATGTAACTGCATCAGAAACCAAATGGAAAAGCAGACAGAGAGCGATGGAAGTTGGAAGGGAGCCTTTGTGTCTGTCTTTAAATGGGCTCAGAAGTGCTGCAATATGGAATCAYGTTGGTTATTTTGGAAGGTTTATCATGAAGGTCCTATAGATCTATAGAGATGATATAAGTCTCCTCTTTCCAGCTTGACTTTACTATTATTTTTGAATTCCTTTAAGTAACAGCATAGRTCTGTTATTGTCTTGAAATAGAAAATGGTATCGTGGGCATCTCTTGTGCTTTTTTTAATAGATTGCCCTGATGGTTGGTGGGGATTGGGCTGCCAGTCTCCCTGTGAGCCCTGTGCCAATGGAGGGCAGTGCAACAAAGAAACCGGAGCCTGCGACTGTTCCCCGGGTTACACTGGAGAATCCTGCTCATCCCGTAAGTCATCATGTTGGCATCTCATTTAAAACAAAGAAATCAGTTTGAAAATTCAGCTTGCAGTTTGATTTTTACCTTCTTGCTGTTTTACAAGACTTTTTCTTTTATGTTAGACACACTGCTTGAAGATAAATCTTAAGTACTGGAAGCTTCAAGAATTCCCTGGATTGGATTGGACAGTATTTGCCCAGAGCGAGAGAGATTACAGACCAATGCAGAGGTCAAACCAAAATGCCTCCCACAATATATAATAATGTTATCCCTAGACCTAATCTGTGGCTATATTTACTCGTACAGTTTATAATAGCACGATGCTTGCTTGGTAATTCCAGTTGCTTGATAAGGATCATCAACAACTGATCCCTGTGCAATTACTCTAGGATTATTTTGCAGCAACTCTTAATCTGTTTCACCCAGGGCATCATAGTAGTGAGGGCACAGGAGCAGAATCAGAGCTGTCAGGAAAGACCCACCAGGGATGTTAAGAATATACTCAAGCAGTAGACAAGTATCTGCACTAAGATGAGGTTGGCCATGGTGCTTGTAACACAGACAGACCCTCAGGAGAGCAATGCTCCGGCAGGACATGAGCAGGGGCTCCTGTGTTCTGCTTGGTTGTCMCAAATCGGCTCACTGCTTTCCACGGAGGTTTGAACGTGTCCACTCCTGCCCATGTGCCTGTGCTAAGTGTTTTTCCTCACCTCATTGATCCTGACACTCAGCAAAAGCGCCCTGGCGTCTCTCAAGCTATTTCCACCTTGCAGGATTTGTCCCTAAGCTCCTAGTGCACAAATTGCAGATGTTTCTTACTCTTTACCTTTCAGATTTCCAGTTTCTGCCAATGCATATTTTGGGGGACAAGCTGTCACTGTCTCATTTGAAAAGATCAGTGGGTGCTTGAGTTATTATCTAGGTGAAATGACAGTCTGTTCATCTGCTTTCAGCCTGCCCTCCTGGTTACTACGGACAAAACTGCCTGCTGTTGTGCAGCTGTAGCAGCAGTGCTCAGTGTCACCATGTCACCGGAGAATGCACATGTCCCCCTGGCTGGGCTGGCCACGACTGCAAACACCGTAAGTCCTATGAGTATTCACTGTGTCTGGCATGTGGCCTCTTGTAGGATCAGCAGGAAATCATATCTGCTTCCTTCTAGTCTGTTGGAGTTCTCTAATACACTGTTATTAATTTTACTGTTTCTGAAATGGTGTTTTTATGGGCTCACCTGTCTTGGGTGRCTGTAATCCTTAATTATCTAGGTTCAAAATAATGAAATAGATGGCTGATGAAATGCAAAGAATTATTYCAATAACTCATTTCAACACTATGGATCCCTTTGCCCATCATAACTGAGAGTCAGCCTTGTTTTTCATTCTCTGCACAGATTAGTTCTGAGATTAATTCTGATTTTTTCAGTTTGTTTAGGAGAGATTTATTCAGCAGGTGATGTATAAGGTCTCACATCTTAAGGTMGCTCACTAACTTGTGAATGTAAATGCTGGGAGAAATATTGTTCTGTGTAAAAGCAGAGCATCCTTGTATTGACCTTAGCATGGTTCTCCATATGGACTGCAATGTAAGAGTGCAGGTTTGCCCTATCTGAGTAGTAGCCTATAAATATTAAACTATTCTGTTTGAATCTTTTGCTTCATTACATTCTTTTTCTACTTGATTTGTTATGGTCTCCATTGCTGAAAGCCAACTGAATACAAACATCCTTCTAAACTTGGTCCTGTAAACATAAAAAGATACAAATTGCTTGCAAATGTTGACAGAAKTAAGTTTGGGATCTGCTTCCCAGGCTTGGTATTGAGGAAAAGTGTTGAGTATCTAAAGATTTCACCAAAGTGCATTTAAAATTTGTAATATTTGCAAGTATTTAGATAACTTTCCATAAATCTTTATGCTGATTAATGAGATCATGATAAAGAAAAAGATTTATTTCTATTCAGGAAAAGAGATAAAAAAAAAATTACAGGCCTCTACCTTCTTCATTAGACGAGGCATCTTAGTAAGGCAGTGCTTCAACTATTGCAAACTGGGCATGAAACATGGGCCGAACTCTGACTTTTCTGGTGTTGTAATTGCCACTTTCATCTCTGCAAGAAAGGAAGGAGATACTGTGCTTCAGCTGTGGTAGATTGCTGAAATCCTGGTAAAGTAGCGTATGATTTTTAGATTGAAGGCGGTAAGGTTTTACTTTTTTTTGTGTGTGTGTGTGTGTGCTTAAACACAGATTGTGAGATTTCTCTGTCAAGGTCCATATTTCCCAGTACTTTGAAAATATTTTGTTGTTGCTGTGTTTTTTGTGAAAGTTCTCAAAAGTGYTCAAGTGATGCTAAGATCACTGCTTTCTCCCCAGTTCCTTTAAGGTTTCAAATAACATGATTTCTTTTTCACTTCTTTTGAATTTGTTTAATTTCAGAAGCACCCGGGCACTCTTGTAAGAATGGAGAGACAAAGAGCACATTTCTCCAGATAAGGGAAAAGGTTCATTTTTTCCCCCTTTTTGCCCTCAAAATGAAATGCTTCTACCAAAATCAAAACACAAGCGTGCATAAAAATAAGCCTGCAAGTTTCTTAACATGAGGCACTTAAGCCTTGCTTGCCCACCCAAAAGAGGTTAGGGTTTCAGAGAGGGAACACATCTGAAGCACCCACTTTCTCTTTTTATTTCAAGGCCAGAAGGCAGGCGAGTGAATTATTTATATTCCAGATTAGTATCTAACACAATGACAAGCTCAGCCGTTGCYCTGCACTTGTCACAACCCTGTTTTGCAGAGATGCATCCAGTCCAAGTGCGAGTACTTCAGGAGATGAAGCAGCTGCCTTCTCCAGTCATAACTTGTACCAATAGCTAATTATTGTCCCTACTCCATTTTAATTGTCTTATCATACCCATTAGCTATTTTTGTTATGCAGATTTTTACTAAGTGAATAATGAGTCAATATTTGGTGTTTTTGCCCCATTAAGGTCTATGTTTTTGACTATGGATTGATACAGACTGACTGTGAATGATTAGTTTTACATTGATCCCTCAATWTCTGCCATAAACCAGGAAAAATTGTGTTGATTTCCGCTGATTTGTGCCCTGTCTGCTGTGCTTTATTTTATGTGGCCATTTTGCACCTCTTCTGCTTGCTTATTGAAATGAAAAATTATCTGCTAGTCCAGGGCAGTGTTCATTTTCAATGTAAACCTTGCTTTGCATTGCAGCTTGTGATAGTGGCCACTGGGGACAAGGCTGTGAAAATCCATGTGTCTGCAATAACAGCGATGGGAGCTGCGATCCGGTCACTGGATCCTGTTCCTGTGAGCCGGGATACACTGGGAAACACTGTGAATCGCGTAAGTGGCGACCTGGTCAGTATGGGGAACTGGCAAAAGCGAGGAAYGGAAATTGCTTTTCCTTCTGTTTGCCTTCAGGAAGACATGTGGGCTGTCTTGTCTCCTGCCATGTCCCAGGAATCTCAAATTTCTTCAGGATTAGATAGTTCAACTAATTTGGATTCCAGAAGAGTTATTTTCAGACTTGTTTCGAGCTAAGCAGTTATTTTGAATGTTAAGACTTCATGTGAGTGAGAGGATTGATAGATATCTGGCTTGTAGCATAGAATTTTCCATATCAGTTATTTATCCAATTTGGGGTATGTGCTTTTTTTCATAAATCTTTAAGTGCCTGTCACATAAGCAGGACAGAAATAAGTCAGAAAGATGCAGCAACCAATGTTTATTAATAACAAAAAAATACAGCAGCCTTACCAAAGTCCCATGTCCTCCACTGTCCTCACCTGTCCCTAACAGTGCAATAGCTGGTGCCATAAGAGGATTAAAAACAGGCATGTAGATCATTCCTGGGGTGTTTCCCCCAGTTTCAGCAATTTCTGTCTCAGGGGTTTCTTAAGACAGAAATCAGAAGACAGATATTCTCTGTTTATCAGACCTTAATATTTTTCTTCCCTTAGCATGCCTAATTGMTTTTTGATCCAGTGCAAACTTTAGGTATCCAAAGCATCCCATAGCAGTGAATAACACAGGTAAACMATTTCATTACATTATTATTACTATCATTATTAAATCTCTACCTGTCAGGTTAGCAATCTGTCAGTAGCATGGTCCCAGCTAAAAGAGTCCCAGTAGCACAGGCAGGATTAATGCTGGTGTCACAGAAATGCCAAAATAATTAATGTGCCATGGTGACCCAAGACAAAAACCCCAGGAAGCTGAGCCTACAGCTCCTGCTGCTCTCAGCCTAGAGGGCCAGGAAGAGCAGCTCCAAGAGAAACATTCCCACTCCACTCATCTCTTTCTTATCTCTCTCCATACGGGCTCTCTGCAGACAGAAGGTACGTGGTAGCTGATCTTCACCTCTGCACCATGGGCAGAATAATCAGAGCAGCCATTGCCCCCAGCAGAACATTTGGCAACTGCTGATGTTTTGTCTGTAGGTTATGGGAAGTTTGGGTCTGCTTTTTTTCCCCCTTTTTGTAATTACGTAATTATTTATTTTATGTATTCATGAAGCCCTGATCGTAAATGTAGACCTGTTTTAAGGTGCAAGCTTATGAAAGCCACAGTTTTTCCCTAAATGTTTTATGCTGCCTCGAAGGCAAGATCGTTATTACAATCTGACAGTTCCTGTGCTCTCGAAGCTTATTTAGGCTCTTGCTCGAGGTTAGGCTCGCTCTCCTTGCAGCTTTGCAAATCATCTCAGCTTCTCGGCGAGCTTTGAACGTTTCTTGGCAGGCGTTGCAGCCGAGTGTGCCTGCTGGAGCAGAGGGCAGGTTGCCTGTGACAGGGACTGCAAAATCATTTGTGAAATATCCTGACCCGTTGCCATCACCTTGAAGGTCTCACCTCCAGRCTAAATGTTTTCGGTTTGAAGAAAGCCCAGCTGAGAGCTAACACCTAGTATAGCTCTGGGAAACTGTTTTCCTTGCGTAAATCTCCCTGGACTTTGTCTAAAACTTCAAGAGAAAAACGAACTCCGAGGAGGAACAAGCGTTTTAGAGCCACATGCAGTTCTGCCTGTTTGCTCGTTAGGACAACGTGGAAGGTTTGCACGATGACATGCAGCTCTGGAGTGTGAGGGGATGCAGGTGGAATTTTGCACCAATTCAGCTCTGGGACTGAATTGGACTTCCAAATGCAAGGACACATGTGGTTAAACAGAGGCCCGGTTTCTGACACCAGCAATGATTGAAAGCAAGAGAAGACTTAAGGTTCTTTCTCACCCCAGCCCAGCCATGGGCTCTACAAGAGGCCTAGAGGAGGGTCCCATTAGAAAATCACTGACATGCTGAAATGATTGAATTTTACCCCAGCTCCTCCTGCTGAACAGGCAGGCTCCTACACACCGCTTCCCTCCAGACATGGCCTCATCTTTGAGCATCCTCCTTGTTTTCTGCTCTCAGTGATGCTTTCCAGATTGGCTGAGCGATCACTTTGCACGCTCCAGTGTTGTTTTCTTTTTTACAGCTAGTGAGTACCATGCAAATCCTTTAACGCTCCTACCAGAACTGCTGTGGAAATGGAGCTTCTTAATCTGTCCCCCAGATGTAAAGTTGTAGCTCAGATTTTTCAAGCAGAGCTTGCAAATGAAGCATGTTGGAGCTTTCGAAAGATGGTCACCACATTTCATATTCTTTCCCACCTCCTGGGAATCAGGATTGCAGGAAAAAAAGAGGGTAGGGCCCCATAAGCTGATGCAGAAGCTGGGAGTTTTACTCCTCCTGGTTGGAGAAGATAAATGCAAGTAAACCATCCTAGAGCAGTATGTGAAGAGCCACCAAGCAGGAAAGCTGAAGTCACAGAGCTTTGCAACTATCAGGTGATGTTTTACTCGCCTGCATGGAATGTGCTGCCATTCAACAACCTGATGGGGTTGTTTTTCCCTAAAATAGACCTTAGTAAAAAACAGTGTAACTCTATCTGGCCCCCAAGGAGAATACTTCATCCTCTCAGTTTTAGGTATTGCAGTTAAGCCTTGCTCTTTCTTTGGCAAACGGTAAGAGCGCCCATGTATCTAAGAATTCCTGGGGGATCGCTGCTCTGTTCCCGAATTAACCTGTCCCCTGGGTCTGGTTCTTTCCCCGCAGGCTGTCCCGAGGGAACCTTTGGCCCGGGCTGCGCGCGGGGCTGTCGGTGCCAGAACGGGGCTGCCTGCGACCACGTGAGCGGGGCCTGCGCCTGCGCCGCCGGCTGGACCGGGACCCTCTGCGCAAAAGGTGCTTCCTCATTCTGCTCCCTTGCGTTTTTATGCAAATATGGGGGTTTTGGGGCACACTGGAAGATGTGATTTTACAATTTGCAGGGCCCRATTCACATAAACCTTTAAACTTAGTTGGAACATGATATGAAAATGTGCACCAAATGCTTTGCTGAGCTGAGTTTTAAGTGTGTGCCTAACTTTGGGCTGCGAGTCCGATTAGCGTTCAGGAACTATCAGGTGCTTAAAATCAGACACGTGCTCAAGACCCCTGCTGTATCATGTCTCTATGAAAGTTCTCTTCATAARTAGAGTCTTATAGTTTTATTGTTGAACAAAAAAATACTTATCCTGCCTCAGACTTACCTGTACGTGGAATATTTTAGAGAAACACCTGAATCTGTGCATTTGCCTTAGGAAAAGAGTCTTCATTTTATATTTAGTAATTCCAACAGATCATCTTCTATGGCCTCATAATTTGGAAAATGGGAAAGCTGAATTGGCTTTCTTAGAGATGTTATTATGTGTTGCTGTGTGGCATATTCTAAGGAAGTCACTGCATGTGGTAACATTGCACAGATGTATAAAGTATTTTATGAATGCAGCAGAAATATTCAGTCAAACATTTTCAGAATTATTTAATTGTGTGTGCTAGAATCCTTTATAAATGATCATCAGTAAATCAGCAGCACGATTATTTTGTTGAGGAAGCAGCATTACCAGCTAGTGAAAAACTGGTGTTGGAGCTGCAGGAGGGATACGTGTGCACTTGTGTGCACGTACTGCCCTCTCATGGAAAGCAAGGGGCTTCTCTGCCTGTGCAGAGGTACTGCAAAACACCCGACTGCAATTCAGGGAACTGCTTGTTGTTTCCCTTTCAGTCTCTACAGGAATTATTATACGAAATGAATATTTGTTTCAATTGTGTTGAAACTGGATAACGTGATGAGCCAACCTGTGATATGCACATGATGTGCTTTTCTAAAATAATTTGCTTTAACTCTATTATTTAAATTCTGCCTGCTCTTTTGACTTGGAAACAGAGAAATTCCTGATGAACTAATGCTCTATATAGACCACACAGTCCAAGTGCCAGGTGGCCCCCAGGAGGGCTTCGCTAGCCAGCAAGGGGCTGAGCAGCGGTCCAGGCAAGTTGTGTTACCTTCAGCAGGCACCCAGGGAGCTCTAGAACCATGAACAGCCCTTGGGTTGCTCCCTGGCCGAGATCTTTCTTTACGGTCCAGCCTCATCTCAAAACATTCCAGTATTTGAGTATTTTAGCATCTAAATATTTAGAAAGCCATTTAATCAAGGGTTACTTGTCTGAAAATAGTGCAGCTTTCATTTTGTTCTTACCACTTTTCTGAACAAAGCAAAGGGAGGTTAATTTCTAGCAGTCTTTTTGTATTGGAAGACTTCCCATGTCTGTCTTCACTCTTTTTTTTATTAGCTGAACTGACAAAATGCTTAAAATATTTCATGTAGGTTGTGTTTTCTGAACTTTCTTGTGTATTGCCACACTGCTCAAAAAAGAATAGTTAAGATGTCATCAGTGCAAAGTAAAGCCTACTAACCACATTGTGCCTTCATGTGATAGCCCTGCTAATAGTTTCCAGAATTAGGTTTGCCTTTTCTGTGCTCCACCACCGTGTTTATGCCTGTTGTGTCTGTGTGCTTGCTTTATCCTGTTCCAGCTGTGCTTGCACTGCACACCCGTCCCCGACCCGCAGCGTTGCAGCTGCCCTCACGGAGCTGCTTGCACTCCTTGGGATCCTGTTCCTGTTGGGTGCCCTGAGCTTTCATCTCTGGGATTGCTCAAACCAACCAGCCCCCAATGTGCTCTAGCTCTAACACTTCGCTCTTGGTTGAATTTCAGCTTGTTTTCTTTGGACCATCTCTCCTTTCTTGCATGTTCTAGGATTTGCAAGACATGTGACACAATTGGAGATAATGCAGTTTTTCTTCCTTGAAAATTTGTGAAAATACTCCAAAAGATTCCAAAGTTTTTGGAAGAAAGGGCAAAACAAAGACCCTTTGTGCACTTTGTTAAACACAGTTCTTGAATTTATCTTGATGCATGTCAAGCCTGTTTACTATCCTGTCATAGTTATGGTTGGGAGTTGGCAAGTGAAAATGACTGGTTTCAGTCTGTTCTATAGGAAATGAAGTCATTCAATTTGAGAGAGATTTACTGGCTTCTTATATACCAAAGGCATTGGTGAATTCAGTACTCCCTGCTGAATTCAAATGAGTCTGTGACCATCCTGGAAGACAACACAGTTATCTGCATTGTCGTGAAAACCAGTTCCTCTCAGAACTTGTCAAAAGGACAAGGAGGCTAAATATCCTTTAGGAAAGCAGGAGTGAGGATTCCTGGGAAACCTACATGATGTCTACTGGAAAAAAAAAAAGCTCAGTTTCCAAATCAGTTGAACATTTATCCTTTGGAACTGCTTTTTTAAATTGCTGGAGGACTGTGCTGGGGCAAGTAGACTTCAGTGCTTAACACTGGGTTTGCTTACACTTGTAAGATCCTGTTTCCTACATGTTTCGTCTCAGACATGCTGAGTGTTTTCCTCTGCACTGACCTTTTTTACCTTTTCATGTAGCAAGTTGCAGCCAGAAAAAATTGGCTGCCTCAAAAAATAGAGGAAAATGTGTAGGTTGTTTGCCTTTGGTGGAACTTCCTGGCAACCTTTCCTCCGAAGAGCCATAGCACTTCTGGTTTTAGTGCCTTGGAAATTGGCAGGGTTTCCTTCTGGCAGGTATGTGGGTTTTTGCTGTCCTCCTGACAGCCTGCCCACATTAGCCAAGTTTTCAGCCTTGGAAGCATCACCCTGCTCCCAGGCTCCAGAGAAAGTTGGACCTAGAGCTGAGTTGTCTGAGACACCTACCGTGTTGTTGAAGCTTCATCCCGAGGCTGAGGAGGATTTTGCCACCGTCACAGAAACACTGAAATGGAAACATTTGCAGCCTTCTTAGTTCCAAGTCCCAGGAGAAAATGGGACCTTACAGAATGTAATATTGAAATACACACCTGCACAACCAGCATTTAGAGAGTGCAGTTGTTATTTCAGGTATTCTGCATTGTGATAACATGGTAGCCAGATTCAGGCTGAAATTGCAAAAGCCTCCAAATTCACCTCCTGGGGTTTGTTTGATTTGGTACTCAGCAGAGCTATCAAAGGAGCAGAACAGTTTCCATTGCAAAGCAGTTAGGCTTTAAATGAAAACCCCAAAAACCTACCAAGGACTGCTCGCAAGCCATGTGAACCACGTGGAAAAGACTTTCTTGGCATTTGTGTGAAACTGGCAAGTGATGCGAACAGAACAGTGGAAAATAATTTGCAGTTCTGCACAAGATGCAACATTACTACTAAGCTATGAAGTATTTTCTTAGAGCAGTGCTACCAACAAGTGCTATCCTTCTTACCTGAAGAGATAATATTATATGCCAAAAGAAGTAGTATCTCATGCAAACGTGAAGTTCTGGCTGTTTCTGAATTAAAGTAACAGTTAACATCTTTGCATTTAGCAAAAGATGGTTATATAAGTCCTTTCCCTGTCCTGTTACGTAGATGATGTGAGAGGTTTTTTCCCATGAAAAGATACCTACTGTAGTGACCCATTGCTACAGGTCTTTGGTTTTAATGCACTTGCAGCTAAATAGTCAAGTCAAAAAAAAAATCAATCCCTTCCTGCAATAAATTGCTAAATATATCAATGCCTGCCTTAAATAAACATCTGACATGAGCAAACCTAGGCCTCCGTGGGCTCCTGATGTCAACTCAGCAAAATCAAAAGGCATCAAAATCTGACCGTGTAGGCTGTCGGTGCTATCAGTTGTGTTACCAATGTGCTGCRTTACATCAAGTTAGACAGGTCACCCTGCTCTGCACCCAGGTTGCTTTGTTCTTGTTTGCAAAACTAATTGTGATAATTGATTTCATTCTGTGCAGCGCTGAGTATGCACAGCGCCCACTTTGAAGGCTGTGATTGCCTTTACTGTACTGTAATTTTGTTTAGTTTTGTTCCCCCTGCTCTCTGGTGTTGTATGGCTGAAGGCAAGTGTCAAGTATCAAAGCAGCAGCAGAATTATCTAGGCCATTGCTTGGTCTGGCTCAAAATGCTCCACAGTTATTCCTCAGCCTTGAAGGAGGGCAGAACTCTCAGCCTTTTCCTACAGTGTTTTATTCACTGATGTCTTGCTAACATCAATTTGCAGTCTATGTTAAATGCAGCACTAAAAGTTCAGATTTGAACTGATGACTAAATTGTCACTGTAGGGACAGGTCAACTGCGCTCCTGTCTTGAGACTTGTGCAGCTTGTCAATATTGCAAAATAGCCCAATAAGATGATATAAATGAGATAAAGGAGAAAATAATACTGTAYACGTCTAGAAAGAGTCAGCAATGCTTTGTAGTCCCTCTGTTAAGCAAGGAAAAACTTTATTATCTTTTCACCCTTACTTGTGTGCTGTGCCATACCCACTACTGCAGCATAATAAATAAGAATATAAAGATTGAAACCACATGCAGCTGGTTGTTCCTTCCAGCTTAATTAACATCTTCTCACCAGTAAGAACTGAACAGGGCCTGACTAATGCTTTGTAGTTTTGTATCAGTATGAGATACTTYTGCGTTTTTCTGGGACAGCACATGCAGGGAGAGCTGTGCAACCCAGGTATTCCTCACGTGCCACAGGAGAAGCTGCAGTTTGGGGAGGATGAAGGAGAGATCGGCCTTTTGACTAAGAATATATGTAACAAGGATATGTAATCAGGCTAAGCAGGACTGAAGGAATGAAGAAGCCAAAGCAGAAGTTACTCAGTGTTATATTGCCATCCTCGCTGTTTGAAGGTCCAGGTTTGCCTATATCTACAGACTTTTTTTTTTCCCTTATAGACAAAGCAGATGGAACTACGCCCTGTTAGAGGACTAAGTTTGCATTTGCAGAAGTGACAGTGAGACTAGGCTGGGAGAAAAAGCCTGTGTGTGAAAAAGAGGGCAAGAAAAGGAGGAAAAATGTCTGAAAAATGCAATGCATGTGAATAAGAGTACTGCTCTGATCTGGTAGAAAGCTGTGAAATTAGTCTATGATGTCTTTGGATATTATCTAGTGATAAATATCCTATCAAAGTCTGCTGAGAAACCAGTCATTCTGAATTCATGGTAGAAGTTTGAGAAATGGGCTTTAAATACAGACTTATACTGAATAATGAGGACAAAGCACAAAGTTTTATTGAATAGCTGCTCCTTTGATGAGCACAGTCACTCCTGGGATTAAGTGATTGCGGGGTTCWGGAGAAAGAATGACGTGCAATTGTGTATCTACAGATTTATTGTTGCTAGTTATTTATATACTTATATAATCTACAAACACACATCTATATGTGTTCAGACAGAGAGGGTAATTTATATAGACAGTTTAATTCTGGCATTTCCTAAGAGCTTTGGACTCCACATTGCAACTTTAGCATCCTTGTGATACAGCCTTTTGGATATGATGTGACCCCTGACAGCCACTGATGCTTATTTTCTRTACACTAGCCCAATAAAGATATATGTTAAATGCAGAACCTTTGCTTTTTCTTACGCATCCTAGCAGTGGGTACTGAGTTCCTTAAGCTCCCTGAAGAAGTTTTGCCATGGTTATTTTACCTTTATTTGCTCCATTCATTCTCTTTGCAAGGTTTTCATTTCAGCACTGAACTGTGACCACATTTYCCTTTGTTCACTGCTAGAAAACCTTTAGAAAGGTGCCAGGAGACCAGATGAGAGCACACATTTTGTATTTCAAAAGGCAGGCAGAGGTGACCTGATGGACTCCTATTAAATCATTTCTTTTGCTTTGTCCTTTGTAGAGGCCCAATTGCTGACCTGTAGGAATTCAGACTCATCTCTTCTGTTCTATGGCTTTTGAGTATATTTTTCARTGCATATGTTTTTCTTTGCAGAAATCTACTGCTTGTATAGAATTGGTCATTTTTCTGAGATATGCATAGCATGAGACTGTGGTATTTAACCCTTAAAGCAACCGTGGCTCCTGGGTATAATTGCTCAGTGAGGATGTGGTAAAGTTCCCGGGGTTTTAGCATACAGTGTTTGCAGAGCTCTGAGCTAAGGTGTGTACGAAGAAGAAACAGGAACTGCAATTACAAAAAAGTGTTGTTTTCCATTTCCAGCGTGTCCAGATGGATTTTTTGGACTTGACTGCCACCAGGTGTGCAACTGCCAGAATGCGGCGGGCTGTGACCACGTCCTGGGAACCTGCCACTGCCTCCCTGGCTGGCAGGGAGAGAAGTGCGACCAGCGTACGTACCTACCCCAGCCCTGCTCCTTGTCTGCAAACCCTTCCAACACGCTAATAGTTGTTTCTTTTGGGAATGTCAGGTACCTTATGACAAYATGGTTTTGGATGGATCACATTCCTTTCCAAAGATGCCAAAAAATTGAAACAGTTTCTAGTTGCTATATAAATGATCAACTTTTTTTTTTTTAATGCTGTTGGCTCTTGTCCAATGTTGTAAGTACTAGTTTTTAAATAGCAGAGCTGTTTGTGAATTTCAGCTGCTATTTCGTGAATTTCAGTTCTTCAGTTTTGCGAAATATTAAGAGATGAAAGGGTATGTCTGTGTTTCTGGTTTACCTCATCTAATTAGCAAGTGACAGGTGACAAATGCACAATGTGGTAAAATCAGAGCTGGGRCTATTTGATTAATTTAGTGGAAGAAAATAAGGTTATAAACAGTTTTTAGACAAATTATTTGAAAGTAGTTGACTTGGTAAGTATGCAGATAGGAAACTCTGAGAAATTTTATCACCAGATTTTATGGAAAATTCAGCTATTTTCCTTATCTACATGTTGTTAAACATGGAGCTCATTGAGTCCATTAGCAAAATGCAGCAAAAGTGGGGTTTTTTGTTTGCTTTTTTAAGATAGTCAACTTTCAGCTTCTCAATGTCTCAACTTCACCTTTAGATTGATCCATAGTGTAATCCATATTTCCCTTTGAAAATACGACTGCCTTCTGAAGGTGCTGCAGGAACATGCAAAGAGCCAACTTCTGCTGATAGCAAACGCTTTCATAAGATCTCTTTAATCCTCAGCTGTGCTTTTTTTCTTTAGTAGAAACTTACAGCTTCATTTAGAAAATAGAGAGAAATAATACTCCTACTGAAACAGTCGTTTTCTCCAGGCATGCACTATGATAGGCAGGCACTCCAGGCATGGTCATCAGCCCTGTATGAACAGTGCTGCCTGCTGCATTTGCTCTTGATAATATCTCACCTTTGCTCCTCCACATAGTGTCTTTTTCTGGAGAGAGCTTCTTCTCCTGCCCTCCTTATCTATAGGAGAGTCAGTGCTGGTGACTCCTTCACCTCCTTGTGGCCCCCGTAGGACCTTTTGATCTGCTCTTCTCCCATCACTTGAAGATAACTGTAATTCTGCCCTGTGAGTTTAGGCACTTGATCCAACTCTGAGAAATAAATATGAAGCCATTGACATTAGACATGCTTCAAAGAAGAAAAGGTGTCCCTGAGCAGGTGTGATGCTTGCGTCTTGGTCACCATCTATTTCTTTGTTGTCCTTTGGACAAACCTCAAAGTTAGCAGTCTGTCAGCTTGGCCCTTGGGCTGAATTAGGGATGGGAAGCTTTGTTCCTGTGTATCTCATTAAGCTCAATGAAGAAATGCAGCATTTTGTCAAAGGCTGCCTGTGCTCCCCTCTGCTCATATGAGAGAGAAACTATTTATTCCCTTGCCTTGCRACCAGTAGGGCTTTATGCCGAGCTTGATTTATTCCTCCTGCTAGTTAAGATGCCAAAGCCCTTGAGGCCTCCTTTGGCTTGAGGAGGAGAACAAGGTCAGTTAATGATGCAGAAGGGTAACCTGGGCTTCTCCTGGCTAAAGCCTGAGTCTTCCCTGGGTTTTAGCTGAGCTAGCAATGTCCTGTCCTATAGCAGTCAATAAAATCCATGGAAACAGCTCCTTTGCAGATTGGCATTGGAGTGTTGTGGAGGGGCTTGAGAATGGGGGAGAAGAGCAAGTTTGAAGGAACCCAATTTACAGAGAAATCGATTCAGTCTGAACCATACTGCACTTAAGAGCTGCTGGCTTAGGGAAATCCCAGGGTGCAAATGAAAAAGCTTTCAAAACTGACAGCAGAAGCAGCAGCTTCCCTGCCAGGAGCTTGTAAACAAGGAGGGATGAGAGGACCCTGTGGCAGGGGCCAGCAAAGCGATCCCAGCTCTGCAGCCTGCCCGCCTCGAGTGCGGCTGCRGTCTGCGCGCTGCCCTCGTGCACAAGTTTAATGAGACACCAAGTGCCCAGAGGACTTAGAAGATTGATTCAGATGAAACATCTTTCAGGGCGAAGCAGGTTTGCCCAGCATGTAAATGAAGGTCAGTTCTTCCTGCCTGTTGCTTTACAGATGGCACTTTGCAGGGCGAGTAGTTACAGGCAGCTCATTTTGGGGTGCCTGGAACCCTTTGCAGAGCTAGAGTGATATCCTTGGGAACTACCTGCTGTCCCTCACCATACCCATCCATCTGGGTAGGATGTGTGTCTGATCAGCCAGGTCAACTCTGAGTGCTCTCGGGTCAAAGACTACAGGTCTGCAGAGAAAAGGAGGTACCTGCTGACCATATGGATCCACAAACCATTTCTCTTGGAGCTTCAGACCTCGGCCACAGTGCTCCCAATGTTCCTGGGTGACTCCAAGCAGGCTTTGGAGATGCTCACCTGCTACTCCCAGTCTGTGCTCGGTGCTTAGTGTTTGTGCTCCTGTTTCCAAGAAGTTGCTAGCTCCAACAGCTGGAAGGACAACATTTGTTTTCAGGTAATCAAATTGCAGGCAATGTGCTGCAGGATATTGAAAACTAATTCTGCTCTCATGGGCTTTGAATTGATCTTAAGCGAGCCATGCAGCGCCTGCTGTAAGCTGCTATCTAATTATGGGAGATACAAGCAGGAATGCCTGTTTGTGAAAGCTGCCTGACACTCTGCATTAAAAGACTATATTTTGGCTGTTTGAAAATAATTTTCAATTACTTGGGATGAAATCTGCTAAGCCTTAGCTTAAAGTATTGATGGGGAGATTTATATTTTTTTTTTTTTTATTGTCTGGCCAGGCTATTTCAGGATTTGAAAGAAGAGGTATATTGGAAAGGTATACTGCCTATATTAAAAATAAACTCTTGTTGAGAGTTACAATGCCTCAGCTATATGGAAGTTAGGATTTGGCCGTTGGCATTTTCCTGTGCCAGAGATGTGACTCTCTGTATACAAACTCACGCAGAATGAAAGTCTCAAAAAAACCCAAAACTTCGTGTGTATGGCCTGTAAAAGCTAAATTGAATTCRGCAACTAGCTTTTTTTCCCAAATTCTGCTCAGCAAGATCTTCACAGAATCAGCTCCTTTCAGAARAGAGACCACACTAGTATGTGAAGTAAATCACTGCAGAAAGATCAGGGCTCAGAGCATTTGTATTTGAGCTACTGATAACTAAAGTTTTCATATTTCATAGTATCTGAGTGCTCAACTTTGCAAATTTCATGTTCTTTCAAAACAGCAGTTTCTTTTGAGAGAGAAAAATCAGCCCAAGTTGCATGAAATCCAATCTCCTGGGCACCCTTTTGTGTCTTAGTCCTTTCCTTATGCTTCCATATGCTTTTGATAGATGTTGAGTTTCTTGCCTCAGTATTTTGGCCTCTAGTTTTTTATGTTCATTATTCTGAGCATAAAAGGGATTTTAAAGACCACTAAGAAACATTTCCTCAGAAAAGAGAAGTTTAGAGCAAGAAGAAGTCTAATAATTCAGRTGTTTCTGCTTCTTTACATTCATCGTGGCAGGGAAAATTCACTGGGATGTTTGTTTGTTCGGTCAAGGAATTTGATAAGCCAGTTAAATATATCCCTTGATCTTCAGAGCAGCGGTTTGATAGTCGGGATAGTCCCACAGAGAAACTAAGTTTGTATACACTGAATGAGAACAGCTTAATTTTTCCTCTCCAGCAATTTCTAATTTCTTACCAGAAATCAGTGCAAAACTCTTCATCTTCTCAAGGAAAGTAAGAAGAGCCTTGCACACATACTCTAGAAACCTCACTCCAACCACTGGTAACTAGTCGGAGGAGCTAGTTATGAGATGGTTTTTCCTTTGGCTTGGTTCTGATACAGTCTTCATCTCTATTGTGGAAATACTTAGTTTGCTCCTGTAGTCGAGCCAAAGCTCTGTGAGATGGGCTGAATCTTTCACTTGGCAAGCAGACCTCATTTGCAGAGCAAACTTTAACTGTGATGTGGCTGAGTTCCTGCACTTTCTTGTAGTTTTAGCATGGATGGGGTCCAAGCAATGACAAAAATGAATAGTGTTGAAAAGATGTTCTAGGAGAACCGATATCTATGAGAATTGCAGAAGTCCTCAGGTAGGAAGCAAAAGGCGGTGAATAGCTCCAGTGCTGTCAACCAGATCACCCCTTGAGGTCTGGGTGRTTTCAGTGCTCTGCCCCCAGAGATGAGTCCTTCGCACAGAACCTCATTCTGCAGCCACACCATCAAAGGCCTAGAGGCTTTTGTGAAGAGTTGTGCTTTGGCTGAGGTCCTGGAGATGTTCCAGTCAGCGAGTGCAGGACACTTTCCTGGATCAGGATGCTTTGCTGGCTCTCCAGTGTTTGCTGACAGCCCTGGCCATCTAGCAGAGATGGATTCACTTCATGGAAGTGAATTAGTGAACTTCTCTAACACAGACACGGAAAACCACACCAACTAATTTTGTATTCTGGGGTTGTTACCTGGGAAAGCAGAGTGACAGAACGGTCTACTTTCCACCATTTAGAGGTCCACATCTCCAGTGCGAGGGAAATTACAGGGATTTCACCCTCATTGTTTTTCCACAGCGCAGTTGAGAATGGAGCTGAAGCAAGTGTACGTTTGTGAGATGGGTGTGCTAAGTTTTCACCTGGGAGCCAGCTGCTTAACTCAATGTGTTGAAAATATCACTCCTGTCTGACCAACGAGCAAGGCTCCTCGGGGTGAGCTAATGCATCCAACTGTGAAAAATGAACAATGAAAACAATGAAGTTGTCAGTTCTCCTACCAGGATGCAAATAAATATCCAGCCTGTCAAGCTRGCTGTTCTGCTGGACCATTAGTTTAGCACAAAGACATTCCGCAGCACAGGAGGATGACAGCTGATCCATCACCCCCGAGAGCCTAGTCTTTGATAAAAATCTGCTCAGAATGTGTTATRATACATATTTTTGAGCCACATTATTTAGTGTCAGGTGTGGTTAATATGTGATCCTACATGCCTCTAAGATGTGAAAAGTATGTCATGAGAAGCCAATTTCAAACTGATTTCCCCAGAAGTGGGTTRTGTCTCAAATGTGCTCTGTATGATGCCTCCTTTGATGTGTTCTAATTGCATTTTATGGCCTTCTCTCGGTGCAGCCTGCCCGGGTGACAGTTACGGGAAGGGCTGCAGTCGCGCTTGTAATTGTCACCACGGCGCGCTCTGCGATCACGTAGCTGGGACGTGCATTTGTGCCGCGGGATGGAGAGGAGCCACCTGCCAAGAAGGTACAGTTGGGATTGCAGTCCTGGTGCACAAGACTGTAGGAAGGAAGAATGAAACCCCAGCTCGGGGGGTGTCCACTGGTATTTAAATTACCAGCTCTGTGCACTGTTCGGTTGTTATTTTCATATCCACACAGTAATGAAGTTCCGCACATTAAAAACCCAACTTGGGGCCAGCRCTGTTACAAGTGCCCCACATTAGGGCACGCATTGCGAGGCTGGCAGGAAGAGGCAAAAAGGGCCAAAACAGGGTTGTAAACTGAAAGGAGAGCTGATTTTGAAGTCTGTGTGATTAAGGAGAAAAACTCCAACAAACTTTAATTTACGACACAGCAATGAAGCTGTTTCCTTGCTGCAGCCTGCGTTCGCGTCCCGCGCGCTCTGCAGACACGCACCATTACCTCCTGCCGGCCCAGACGCAGGCAGCCAAATCCACACCACGGGAAAGGCTTTGGGAGCTTTAGTGCTGGCAGCTGTACCAGTCTGCGAGACCGAAACCAAAGCCCTGCTCCTGGGGGAGCTCCGGAAGGAGGACAGCAAAGCAGGGCTGTGCTGAGGCTTATGTTGCACGTTCTCATCCACCGTATCCAAGCCATTGGCCAAGTTTGTCCATCTCTGTCCTAGAAACTCTCTCTTTTCTATGTCCCCTCCTMAGCATTACCTGCATTTTTCAGCTCTCTGGTACCTTAGGAGTGCCATAGAGCAGGGAGTGCAAAACTGGGATGCTTGGTGCCCTGGATGCACTGGGCTTTGGACCAAGTCAACGTTCCCAAAGAAGCAGCTGCAAAGCATAATAGGGAGCAAAAGTTAAGCAAAGGAAAGATACAAATGATGGTAGAGTAATATAAGAATTAATGGAAAACTTAATATAACCTGGTATTTAGAACCCAATATAAGAGGGTTTTCCATGAAGGAACACAGAGCAGAGATGCACCAAACCTTTCCTCATGATGCATCCAATCATCATGGTTTTGCTTAAAGGCCTCAAATCCGAAACAAATACAAAAATAAAGCCACTATCAAATATAAAGATTTTGTGAAGCATACCCTTTTCCTTTAATGCCACATTTGGTGGTTTCTGTATTTCTTCACGTTTGGAAGTGAGGAGGTGGTACAAATCTGTGAGGGTGAGTGAGCAGTCTCCCAATGACTGTCCCTTTGCAGAGTGAGAACCTGTTCCGCTAACATTTCGGTTACCACTTCTGCACAGAAAAGATGCCTGCATTTTTACTGCCAAAAAATTAGGATCTCTCCATAGGATCTAGTTGAAACGGGATTTAAGAATCTTGCTTAAATTAAAAATAAGTTAACTGTAAAATGTCCTCAGCCAGCTACAGATAGCAAGATCAATTGTTCATTATGAAAGTAATTGTGATTTTAAGTGCACTGTACAAGGGAATGCTGAAAACAGAAATCGATAATGACATTCCTTAGTGCTGAGAAGGTAAGAGAAAGGACCCAAAGTATGTTTATCATAAGTCTGAGTAGAAAAGCTTGAGTTGATYGGTGAGGTCTTTGTCACCTGCCGTTTTACATATCTTGCTCCCAGACCAGTTTTATATTAATGTAATTCCTCGGAAGTCTTTGCCTCCGGTTTCGCTCTGTAGTGGCCCCGGGCGTCATGGCAGGTTTGGGCTGGGGAGGGCYGTGCTCTCCGCGTGCTGTCCCGCACTTGCCGGCTTACGTGTCTTGCTGCTGGCTCTCGTTCGCAGCCTGCCCGCCGGGCTGGTTCGGTGCCAGCTGCCTGCAGCCCTGCCTCTGCCCCAGCCCGGCGACGTGTGACCGAGTGAGCGGCCGCTGTGGGTGTCCCGAGGGCTGGACGGGCACGGCCTGCGAGCTGGGTGAGTTCTTCAGCACCTCCTTTCACTCCACAGCCAAATTCTGTCCTGGTGAGACCTGGCCTGAACCAGGCCACAGGCATTAGTCTGGCCCTGCTGAGGCCCTTCCTTGTCCGGCCTTGTGTCAGTGTCCCCGGTCTTGTTTCAGAGTGTGAGGATGGGAAATCCGGAGAGGGCTGTGGGCAGAACTGTAGCTGCCACCATGGRGACTGCGACCGGCTTTCGGGGAAATGCATCTGCCACTTGGGCTGGACTGGCCACCGCTGTGATGTTGGTATGGATATTTCCTCCTCATGTTTTATCAGTCAGTCATTTCTGCTCCTAGAATATAGAGCAAGTTTCCTTATATTTTTTAATATCTTAATTTGTTATATTTGGTAGGCCAGTAAAATAATGGAAGTGCCAGAGTTCACCATGTTTCACAGGAGCTCTGGAGGCAGGTCGCTACTCAATCACAAATACATGCCCTATCCAAATCATTTATCCCTTTCTACTTCTGGGTCATGTCTGCTAAGAAAACAAAGGTATTTCTCCGCTTTACAGATGTATGGAAGTATATATTAAAGAAAGCAAGTTGTAAAGAGAATCTGCTATATCAGACTGTGCCCAACATGTGCTGCTGCTTCTCTGTGCCTCACTGAGGAAAGTTCAGGAAATCAGATCGTAATGGTCCATGCTGCATCCTAACTGCTATGACTGACCTATGATCCRCACTGCACAGGTTTAAAATAGATGTCTGCCATGTTTACCTCCACACAAGTCCCTTAAACAGAAATCTTGGAAGCAGCAGGTATCAGATGACTTGAAACCTGCATTTGATTCTGCCCCGGCATGCTGTGGCTTTTGCAAGCCACAAGCGGTGTTCAAGCCACTTGGGTGCTGAGGACTTGCACAGCCTCCATGGTCAGTGTGAACTGGAAGGATCTGTGCAATGGGGAGCTATCACGTCCTCAGGTTTCACTTTCTCTTTAATCACTCAATAAAGATGTATGAGGTGGAAAGCAGTAGCAGAGCGCCTATATCTAGGCACAGTATATTCTCACTATAGAAAGTTAGTTACTCCTCTTCCCATTCACATTACAGTGTAAAAGTGACATTACTACCTCTATAGAGACTATCTGAATTGGTACTCTCGACTGCAACTCTGCAAACTTGCAAACTTTCATGTAGAAACTCACTAATAGTCAACATTAAGCACTTTTAACATTTTGAGTATATTCTCTCTGTTATATTTTCTGGGCATACAGTGTTCTAAGTGCACATCGTTATGTCCAGGAAGGAAAAATACTGACTTCTTTGTCAACAAGTGATGCTTTACATGCAATAGAAGGGCTGGCRTTTTCTGTTCCTCAGTCTGCCCCCCTGGCTTCTTTGGGAAGCGGTGCGAGGAGCGGTGTGACTGTGTGCACAGCTCGTCCTGCGACCATCAGACTGGCGCGTGTCACTGCGAAAAGGGATGGCGAGGGATGCGGTGTGACAAACGTGAGTATCKGCCAGGGCTCTCAGGAGAGAAGTCCTGGTTGTTGTGTTTGTCCCTGGTAGATCCTCATCCACAGAAAAGACCCTTCAATTCCTTTGCTCTGATGTTTCCTGCACTTAATAGAACCAACTCTGTAGGATTCTGATATTTTTTATCCTTTTTGAAAATCAGCCTGGAGTCATTTTGAAAATATCTCACTCTTCCCTCTGAAATGCTTCAATTTTTGAAAGTATGGGTATTCCTTATAGCATAGAGGGCTGGATCTTGACCGTCTCTAACTGAAGTCCGTGCTGAACCTGGCTTTTGATTTCTAATGGCATAACTATTCTATCTAGTTAAAGCGTCTTAAGAAAGTTCCAAATCCTTTTTCARTTTGCTCTTTGCCTCTGTCAATGGTGTTGTGTTCATGTGTTAACCTGAACTCTTCTGGGATTTGGGCTAGCTTGTGTGGCCTCCCTGTTGGGTAGGTAGTGCTCACATGGAGCAGCAGAGCAGCTTTCAAACCATCATCCTCATGCTCTGCCAACTGTTCTAAGCAGAATTTGTCCCCTCGTTCCAGCTTGCTTGAAAGGCTACTACGGCCTGAGCTGTGCCCAGAGGTGCGCTTGTCCTGCGGGTGTCCCCTGTCATCATCTGACGGGAGAGTGTGGCTGTCCACGAGGATTTACTGGTGACAGCTGCGAAAAGAGTAAGTTGTTTGTAAGAAAGCAAAGAGCTTCCTTGGCAGGCACCCCAGGAGAGGGGTTCATATCTTAAGTGGCTACAGTGGTGAGTTAATAAGTGCCTGAAAAGCAAGGACAGACGTGCTGCTGCCCCTCGTGAAGACCAGGCTTGGCTGCTGCTTCTGCTGCTCTTGGGAGAAAAGCCAAGATTGGGGATTGATGGAATTTCTCCTCCGTCCAGCAATAGCTGCAGTTTGTCTGTCTTGGAGGAGCTCCTACCTTCCTCCTCCTTGCAGCAGGGAGCAGAGCCACCTCCTTAGGCAAGGGATGGGGAAACCCAGCCTTGTTTGTATTAAATGCAGTACATCTRCTCTTTGTACCAATTTACATCAGCTGGCAAGAGGGCCTCAACCGAGGAAATGCTGTAGGAAGCAGTAATGTAAGAATTAAGACACAGAAAGACCAAAAAACATTGTCACTGTAACYGTGATGGACAAAATGCAACCTGTGTAGATGTGCTAAAGCGGCTTTGCAAGTTTAAGCTCCCTGCAAAAGGTAGAATGTCTTTATCCGTGTGCCTGGTCCTCTGTGAATTATACTGTTATTTTAGTCAATTTTACCTGACATTTCCCTATGATTTTCTCTAGTGACAAGAAAATTGTATCTGGCCCTTGACAGTTGGGCACAAATTGACTGAGYGAAACAAAATCAAGCAGTGAAGTAACCCCCAAGTAAATGTAATAAATCCAGAGTCCCGGAGGACAGCATAGTTCTGTAGGCAGGGGCTTTATTTAATAAATTTGAGCTTGCTCTTTGTTTGAGTGCTCTATTTACCAGGACAAATTGAATTTATTGGCTTCCATTTCCTCTTCCCCGAGCTTGTCCACCGGGCACGTACGGGAAGAACTGCAACCAAGTGTGTCGGTGCTCTGCGGAGAAGGAGCAGTGTCACCCGGTGACGGGCAGATGCTCCTGCAGGTCGGGGTACTTCGGAGCCCGCTGCAGGCACAGTGAGTACACAGGAGCCCCTGCCTCCATCCCTGTCCACCTTCAGCACTGACCAAGACACAGCTCGTGGTAATGCACAACAGCAGCAGCGTCCACCTTGTTGGGAGGAACTTGAAGTCAACAACAGAATCATTCACTAGCAAAATTCTATCCAATTTCATCCATGCTGAAGAATACCCATATAATTGATATAATTGCATTTACAACTCTTGATCTTCAGCTACAAAAGAATATTATATAACTTTTTTTCTCTCTTTTTTTTTTGCTCTTCTTTTTTTTTCCTAACATACCTAGACCAAAATGCTTCCCGAAATCAGAGTGTTCAAGTAAGGACAAATGGTTACTATAAAGCAACGAGCTGCGATTGGCAATAAATCTAAGTGATTCATAAAGTCAGTTAGGTTGTAGAGCCTTCTGAGGAACAATCAAATTAAACAAATTGTTACTCTGTATTGAAAAATGGTGACTGGTGTAAAGGACAAAATGCCAATTGGCTGAACACTCCATCATAAAAAATATTCCCAGATCCACATGCCTCATGCTGGTATTTTAGGACATCTGTAAAATTGTTTGTAGTGGAATGTGGCAACTGATAAGAAACATATACTGAAGTATCCAAAAAAGGAGACAGTTAATTACCTTTTTATTTACAACTTTAATTTTCTTTTTACTCCATGACTTGTAATAGTCTCATAAAAGAGTAAAAGGCTGTTTTTTTTCAGGCTCAGTCTTTCTCTCCCTGGCAAACACTGGTTTTCCTTTCCTAAGAATCCAGAATGGCTGTTTTAGTTTGCTTGATTTTTTGGGTGATGATTTGGATACAAAGGCCAGAAGCCATATGTGCAGATCTGGTAAGGGTTAAACCTGTGCTTTATGCAGCCAAGAAGCTTGCAGATTTAAGAGATGAATGTTTGCATTGCCATCAAGTTATCACAAGTCATTCTTTAAATAAAAAAAAATATATAAGGATTGATTCTGTTCTCCTTTATACATCAGTTCTCACTGTAAGTGAAATCAAAATCTGGCCTTCAAAATCTAGGTTTGAGCCATCTGGATCCATTATCAATTGAGTTATGGTGAAYATTATAGTAGAGCAGTCAAAGAGATCATCTATTTAACAGTGCAGTTTTTTAAAGACTTAAACATGGTTAGACTCTTAACTTTTATGTAGTAGTCTTRCAATAGCCCTTGTCTTGCAATAGCCCTTATCTTTGTATCTCTATCTAAATCTCAGTAGATTATAATGAATGTCTTGAGTTTGCTTAATTCCTTAAGATTTTACTTTCTAGTTTAAAAAAACATGTATATTAATGATTATTACGGAAGTGCTGATGTAAAAGAAGTTACTTGCAAAGTGGAAGCTGTGTTTATTGCAAAGAGGATTTTGCTGTATAGTTTTCTGTGGTTAGGATTAAACCTATAGCATCCTTCATGATGCTGTGTTTTCTAGATTCCAACAGTAGACGGTATCATGAGAAGCAAATTCTCAGCTAATTGATACAGTTCTGTTAAAATGTTAATGTTGGAATAATGAAATGTCTGTGTATCATGAGTGTAGAGACTTAAAGGAGAGGAAAATTTATGTCACGTCTTTCTTCCCCACCCTTTTTATCCCTATTCTCGTACAAATTGGACTAATCTGTAGAGACATGAAAATGGAAACAAAGCAGTTTACATGTAAGTTATTTTTAAATATAGGTCAGTGAAGTGAGACATCATGGATCTCATTCTGAACTCACACTGTCTGATAACCAGGGATAGCTAGCGTGACATTGAGAGAAACACTCCTCGTTTCTGCTACATAGCGACCTGGGGCTGCTCCATGGTGAAGAAGCTTTCGATATAATATGAAAAACAGCATAGGGAGCCACTCCCAAAGAAGTTAAACGGGCTTCGGTCCAGTCAACATGTGGTTGGATGCTGCTGGAAATAGTTTCTGGCAACTATTGCTGTATTTTTAGTACTGTGAAAAAAGGTTCAAGAAAATATCTATAAAAGGTGTAGTTGGCTGGGAAGTCAAATTTCCAGGAGCCAAGAGCAACTAGGCTTTCATGTTCTCAAATTTTGGAGTGAAGAACTGAAATAGTCTCCTGGCAGGATACAAAGGAAGCAGGCGAACTAGCAATGAGGTTCCCATCAGTTGTCTATAACTCGATGGATGGACAGATACGCTTGAGTTTGGAGAAGCTGGAGAAAAAAAAAAATTAAGAGGTGTTATAATGGATAGAAAAAAACACACTGCATCTCTGTACTGTTTATTGAGCTGGATGAACTCTGAGCCAAAAAGACCTCACCAGCTTCACCTTCAAGGTATCTAAACCAGATGCAACAAGACTGTGTTTTTGGCARCGCAGTTAGTAATATTGGTAAGGAAAGCCCTAGTGCACAAAGTTGGTAGGAAAAGATTTAGGAACTCTTGGTCATGGTAAACCCACCCAAACCAGAAGGAAAAGATCAGGAAATGAGTTAGAAATCTGGCTGCAGTTCCTGCCGCTCTGACAAAAACATAAGTCAGATGCRCAGGAAACTGTTAAATTAGAAAATGTCTTTATTAGATAACTGGTGGTTAGAGGCTAACCCTCTTAATAAATGCAGAGCCTACTTAAATGGCAGGACACTGTGTAAATTGCCCTAGCTGTCTGCATGTAAGTTCTTTTGCAAAGTGGTAACAGATGAGACAGCCTTGTTAATAATCACGTGGAAGTTGCAGCGATGCATTTGCCCTGCCTGTGTTACTCCCCCTTGAAATGAAATAAATAAAGCCCTGCAAGGATAAATAAATCTGTAAGGAGGGAAATACTGCATCGCTTTTTAGTTATGGAACAGCTCTTGTTAGTTTTGAACTGAAGAGCAATTCTGAAAGCTTTGCCAGGGAGAAGCAGCATAGCTGGGACTGCGGGAAACGGAATTAAAACAGAGAAAAGCCAGACGATGACCCAAAGGAAAGGGGAAGGGAGAAGGAACTCTCTGCAAGTCCAGACCAAATCGTTTAATCRGGGTGTGTCCTTAGCTTCATTTCTTGGTAGAAATTAAATAGATGCTTCAAGGATCATTCTTTGATGCCAGGATTTGCATATGAAACAAATTTTCTGTACTGACAAATGGAAGCACAAAGTATTCTTTGAGAAGAAGGCACGGTTGAGGCACCAGAGAGAGGATCTGCGTGATGTGGAAGTGTGTGTCTGCTTAGTCCTGATCATCTGCTATCCTGGTTCAAGCAAAACCCATCTTCAGTTATATCATATATACTTTTAAAGATGTAGCATAATCTCAGTCTCTCCCTCTCTCTCTTCCTCTCTCACTCTCCTTTTGCAGGGAGTTACTGTTGAGCCTTGTTCATATTTTTGTTGTTATAAGAGCAGTGACTTCTTCCCCGTTCCAGTCTTCTATATTCTATTTCTAGTCTTGGAAAATTGGGAGAATGGTATCCCGAGTTCAGTTTTAGCATGCTGGAGTCAACCACGACAGCTAGAGGCACATGCCTAGGACCYGAGCCCTGCACTTTTCTTCTTTCTGGCCTTCATGCTTCAGGAGAGTATCTTGAAGATGTGAGCTAAGTGTAACTGTTGCATTGAAGTCTCCTTAGTTTTATATTCAAAATTCCTTCAAAATTAGTTGTCCAGAAAGAAACCAGAAAAACACTGTATCAGAAAATACACAGAAAACCTATTTGTGCACAGCCACATGACATTGGCTCAGCAGTTCATCCAAGTCCAGTGTTTGCTTGGGTTCTCACAAAACACAGCTTGTCTTTTCACAGGGAGTTTTCAGCTTTGCATGTGAAGTGTATCTGCCCTATATCCATCTTCTGAAAAGGTGTCTCTTTTCAGTCTGGTGTCTCTCTAATCTGGAAGACTAGAACAAGTCTTCCAGAATGACACTTAAAAGAGGCAGAGATGTCTTCTCACCATTACAGACAAAAGAGACTGTTTTTTTTTGCCCTGAAGAGAGACCAAGGCTTCATCTCTCCATCTCAGCCTTGTAAGGATAAAGGAAAATGGGTGTTTTGGAATAGAAATCCAGGAGGAAAAATCCTGAGAGGACTGGACTGGCTTTTCTTGCTACCTCCAAAACAAAGGGCTTAAGACAGGAAATGCAACGGTCCAAATAGCAACAGACCCTGGCAGCTTTGTTATTTGGCTTTGTTTTTTAAACAGGGTGTCCAAAAGGTACTTACGGTTCCTCCTGCCAAAAATCCTGTACGTGCATGAAYGGAGGCCACTGCGACCCTGCGACGGGCACCTGCGACTGCGCGCCCGGCTTCATTGGAGCCGACTGCAGCAAAGGTGGGCTCCTTTCACGGGCTGCTGCTGGGAGAAAGCAGCACTGAGAATAATTCAGATAATTGCCAGTATATAAATAGATCCCAGCTCATATTTGCTTGAATTTTAAATCAGGTTTCTGGCTTTGTAAAAACTCTCTTGCAAAATATTTTCCCTTTCTTTCATATGTGCAGAAGCAGGGATACTCATCCTAGGATTACAGCCCGCCCGCCCAAAGTTATGTGTAGAGACAGCTCAGTGTGAATTGCTCAAGTTCCTTTTTCCTGTCCAAAATTTCTCAGTTGAGAAATTATCCCAGTATTTTGCTTCAAGCTGTGGTGTCATTATTTTCAGTAAATGGGAGAAAGTTCAAGTTTTGTCATGGCAGAGCTGGTAAGGAGGCCATGGCAACCCTGCACCTCCTTCTTTATGTTAGGGTTGGGTTATGAGGCTGAATTGCTGTATTACCACATCTGTGATCTCCTAATATGGGTAACTTGGTATTTCCACATGCTGTACCTGTTGGCTAAAACCAACTGTACTGTACAGCACTAATCAGAACTTAACTATTATTTTATCATTTTCAGTCTCTTTTCGAAATTCTCATTTGCTTATCATAGAAAGGCAATGCTTTAAAACATTCAGGAGGCTTAAACAGGAGAATATTGCTATTAACAAAAGAAAGAATCCTTCAACATGGAAACATGGAGGACAGTCAWAAAAACATTCAGAAGTTATCATATCTCTGGATGGGGTTTCCGGAGTTGTTGTTCTGAAACACATTAACTGGAATAAAAATGAGCTGGTTCTGCAGAGTGTCAGCTCTGTTAAAAAGAAAATCTGGCATTTTGCACCCGAGGTGTTTAACCAAAGCCCCTGTTTCCTCCAGCTTGCCCTGGAAATCGGTACGGGAAGGACTGCGCCCTGCTCTGCTCCTGCGGCGGAGGTCGGTGTGACCCGCGGACTGGCAACTGCTCCTGTCCTCCTGGCCAGACCGGAGCAGCCTGTCAGCAAGGTAACCAAGCGGGGCCCGCGGCCCCCCTGTCAGYGGGGCACGTCCCTGGGACAGCCAGCAAGTCAGCCCCAGCACCAACCGTTTYTGGCTGTTTTCCACAGCCCTCCTTCATCCTACCCCAGTCTCCTGCCCAGGCCTCACCACTTGGTCCCACTAGCACTGGTGCCATTGCACTAGTTCCCTGCAAAGCAAAATAAGTCACAGCTCTCCCACACTGTGCTCTAAACATGCGATGTGAACCCAGGACAGAGGCAAGGGTAGCTCTCTGTGGTGAGCACTGTGAGGGCATGGTGCCTGGCTGGGACTAAATTTCCCAACCAACTGCTTGAAACCCAGAAGGGAAGGTTAGAGGATGTACTGAAGAGAAGACTGGAGTGAGATGGGACAAGGGGAGGAGAACAAGTGGAGTGTGAAGCGAGAGGGACATGGGGTGAGGCAGGGAGTGCTTGAATTAAACTGCTAATAAAKGTACAGTGACGAGCTGTGTGCGTCACGCAGCCTTGTTGCATCAGGCACTTGTGATGCTGTACGGGGAGCAAGCATCTGTTTTTGTTCCCTGTCACTTTCCTCCTCCTTCGTGATGGTAATATCTTCTTCTCCAAACTTTGTTAATTCTCTGTAGTGTGTCCCCAGGGACAATATGGCCCCAACTGCCAGCTGACGTGCACGTGTCAGAACGGCGCCGTCTGCAACCAGGTGGATGGGAGCTGTGCGTGTGGCCTGGGCTGGACTGGGAGCTCCTGCGAGAAAGGTGATTTTCTGCTTTGATGATAGTGAACGTGTGGATTCAAGAAGTATCTACATCAAGAAGTATCTACATATTTCASTATCTACACAACCTTGAAATGAAGCAGTTTTTTGCTAAAGCAGACACCCTCCCAGCTGTACTCATCACTCTCAAGCAGAATAGCTCCAAGTTAGAGCTTTAGGTCTCTTTTTTGKTTTTTTTGGGAGAGACTTTTCTCCAGAATCCTACTCTGTGCAGTTCTGGCCTTCATGTACAGTGTTTCCTTCCTTGTTGTCTGTAAAACATCCACCTCAAGCTCCCTCCTTAGCAATACCAAGAATCAGTCAATTACCAAGAATCAGATTTCCAAAAATGACACTTTAGGGAAGGAACAGGSAGAAAAGATGCTAACTACGCAGGGTCCCTCACAGTGTGACTGCCCCTGTGGATAGTCACTCAAGGAAGCCCCCAGAAAAGTGAGGTTTGCCACTGACTGGCTGAAAGGTTGAGCAGACATGGACACTCACGTGAATTTGTCTCTTCCTTGAAATCTCTGCAACTACTCACTAGCTGCAGGTGTGTAGCAGAGCTTTCCTGGGGCCAGGCAGGTGTCCTAGGGTAGTGTGGATCATGCACGCATGTCTTACAGATGTCTTTAGATAAAAAGTCCCAGGTTTTGAGGACCAGGGACACATATAGCATGAAGAACCTTGTGCTATATCACTAGAAAGATCTTCACAGTTTATCTGTCTGTATAGATAGGCAAGCTGTTGGAAAACAGAATCTTCCTTTCCACATCTGTGTGGTTCTTGGTGCATTTTGCCTGAAAGGCTTCTTGAAGCCATGCATCATTTTTTTTCTACTGATTAGATATGATGTTCTTGAAAGATACAAAAAAAAAAAAAGCCTTGTCTGACATTTGCAGACTTATGAATCTGATTATTTGGATGGTCACACTCATTTAAGTCAGTCTGCACCAGATTCAAATTACCACAGCAGTGATGAAGTTAACTTCTGCAGATATGATGCATAGGTTAATTATATTGACACAGTCATTTTTGCATGACTTGGCTTTCAGTAATTTGAGACGTGTTTAGTTCTGTAAAAGTAGATATCTAATTACACATGGAAGGTCTGTCACTATGTGTGAAGCAGAGGTCCTTCCATTTTCATTAGAAATTGGAAGAGGGTGAACTCTAATGACAACACAGTCCAAGAAAAGCTGTATTTTTTCTGGCTTTTGTAAGTCCCTGTAAGAAGTATTGCTGTAGATAGGCAGATAGCAGAGAAGATATCATTTGCTATGTGACCTTGCAAAACCATTATTTTTTTTCCAACATTAGCTATATGAAGAGACAAATTAAGAAGATGGACTACTATTAGCGTGAGGAAGCTGAGTGCTATACAAGTATCTATATACTATAAAACATTTCTCACCAAAGTAAGCAAATGCATCATATCACATGCAGAAGTGCTGTGTCTCCAATGTGCCAAAGGGGGTGGGCGTTTGGTAGCAAGTGTTGGTCTCAGCACTCTAAGCTATTATATGGCCATTAGATTGCAGCTGTGAAGGCGATTTATCCCCRTGAGGTCAGCAAAAAGCCTTTGTGCTGTTCTTGTTCTGTCAGCAGAATGTCTCCCGGGAAAATACGGACCTGACTGCCRCCTGGACTGCCCGTGTGGGAACAACGGCACCTGCGACAGGTTCACGGGCTGCTGCCRGTGCCCCGAGGGTTATTTTGGCCACGCGTGCGAACACAGTAAGTGGGCAGCCCCTGCCACAGCCTGAGCAGTCTGCTTTCCAAAAGTAAGACCATGTGGGATCTTCAGCGTAGTCATATAAACACTTCCATGGTTCAGTAAAAAATTCCGGGGTCTCCCAGATCACCAGGCGGCTTCAGCGTCTGAATAACTTCCATATCTCTTTAGCAGTGGGGTGTTATTGTGAATTTAAAAGCACATAGCATAGAGGTTGCAACATACAGCGGTTTTGTTGGCTCRCGGGGAACACAGCAGAGAATGCCCAGGATTTTAAAGGGCTGTATGGTTTTCTTCATCAACTTTCCTCATTTGGCACTTTCCTTTCTCAGAGTGCCCCCTTGGATTTTATGGGCTGAACTGTCTTCAAGCATGTGCCTGTAAGAATGGAGCTAGCTGCAATGCAGTGACAGGACAGTGTATTTGTCCTTCAGGTTATCAAGGTGTCTACTGCGAAAAAGGTATGTATACACATTTAATTTTCTTTAAAAATAGTGTTATTACTCAAATACTTCACTACGTTGAGAGCAACTTTGTCCGGGCTTTTACCTTTATGAACACCCTGAATTGTGAATTTGGGATTGTTTACCTGCATGTTGTCGTTCCCTTATAAACAAACTAACCTGGTTCTGATTAATGCAGTTAAAGTCCTCGTCTCCATGATGTCTTGCAGCAATGAGTTCCACATGTTGATTATTGAAAATGAGTTCCTTTTACTGATTTTAAATTTGCTTCTAAAATTTCAAATGAGATTATTAAATTGGTGTATGTTAAACCAGTTGAGTGTTACGAAATAGTCTTCCACCGACTTCTAATTAAAAATGAAAATAAGTGCCAGTTACATTTCTGGGACAGATTTACAGATACCTTTGATAGGTTGGATTAGACTAAACCAACATAAAGGGCGATCATATAAATATTATGCCTATTGCACGATATTCCATTCTTCATTAAACTTGGCATTTATGCTAGGTTCAGCTCAGAGTTTATGAGCTGTCCTGTGAGACATCCTTGAAAAAGTCCTCTCAACTAATGTATTTCTTGCGATTGAAGTATGCAGTGCATGTGACAAAGGGTTCTGTGTGTCAGGCTGTGACGCTGGGTGGTTTGGCGAGCGGTGTCAGCATCGCTGCGACTGCGGAGGAGTTCCCTGTGATCCCCAAACTGGAAAGTGCCTTTGCCCGCCTGGGAAGACTGGGGACAAATGCAGCATTGGTAAGAGCAGTGAGATGTGCTGAGGGCGGGACTGTGCAGAATTGAACCGGTGTGACCTGCTGGTTCTGGCGTAATTGCAAAAGGACATTTCCTGGCACAGGGAATCTGTGAGCGTTTGTAACTTAAGTATTTTCTTGCAGGTTAAAGTGCTCTGCCAGCAGGGTGCCCGTCTTGTTTCAATCAATACCCTGATTGACCCACAGTTAGGAAAGCTCTGAGGGTCACTCATTGGCACCAAGTTTCATGCGTTGTTGAAGAATAYACCAAGAAAGTAGAGCAAATAGCAGTTTTGCAGACGTGGTGGAAAGATGCTTGACAGGAGTGTGAAGGGATCCAATTGCATGTGTAGGTGGCGGGTAGGGAACCTGCGGCAGCTGTTTCTGGCTCCGGGATTCAGTAGTAGTCCGAGAACGTTTGATCCAAATAAAATTCCCTCATTTGCAGCACAGGCACTTGGGCTGCATGTTTAGTAATGAGCTGGTCCACAAAGGCTGAATTATTTCATAACAAGGGTATAAAAATAGGTGAGAAAACTCTACTGTAAAGAAAACAAACCAAAATGCCGTATCCTGGTGAAATCATTGCAGAGTTGAGAGGCACTAATGATAGCTAAAGTTCCCGAGCCAGATTCTGGTCTCAGAAATGCTGGTGTGAATTTATGGCAATCACTGAATTAAAATTAAAAAAAAAATCATCATGTCATAGCAAACATGCTAAAAGGGGTGAATGTCTGTGTGCTAATACTACAGACTCACACTGGGAACTGTAATGCCCAGAGCCTCAGGGTCGTTTTTGGGGAATACTGGTTCTCCCTTTGTTCTCGGACAGGGCAGGAAACAGTTTTAAACATCACRCCATTAGTGCAGGGGAGGGTTAAGTAATTGCTGGGAGCTGAAGTGCAACCCAAAAACCCAAAAGGAAAATGATTTGCTGCCCTCCCTGCACCGTCCTGTGGTCCGAAATCAAAGTAACTCACTCTGCAGGCGCGGGGCTGAGTGGGAGTCCAACCACACCATGCAGTGAGTAAGGCTCCGTGAATCCAGAGGCTTTTCCAATGAAATTTTAGGCAGAAATAAAACGCAAGGGGGAAGCTCAGCACCACAAATGTGAAACAAGTATTCTGCTTCTTGAGAACTATAGGAGTCATTTTTATTTTTCTTAAATCAGCTAGGGTAGCCCCTGTCCATGGAAAGCTGTTACAGGGTAGGTTTTATTTGCATTTTTATTTTCAATTAGGCTCAGTTCATCTGTGATATAACTGTGAGCAGCTGTGACTGTGCAGCAGCCATAAAGATAAAAGGCCTGATTTTAATTTGAACTCTGGTAARGCACCCATTAAACAGGCAAAATGTTAATTAAAAAAAAAAAAAAAAGAGAAAGAATATAGCAGACTTTTATGGGTTCTCTCTTGCTGTAGTAAATTAACATTGCAGACTTCCAAACAGATGTCTTAAATACACATTGTTATTAACATGAAAATGTGGTATTACATAAATTAAAGTCAGGTCCAGAGGTGTTCGAGGAGACCTTTTCTCATAACATTTCTAATGGAAAAGGCCAAGCTTGGGAGGGCAGGGGGGATACCCCGGGGCCGGGGCTGCCCGAGCAGAGCTTTGCTTGATGAACGGTGCCGTGCAGGAAAGCAAGAGCCTCGGGTGATTGCAGTGGGTTTGAGTGAGGTRAGAGGCAGAGGGGTGTTGCTTGCAGCATATTTTGCACCCTGCCTTGCAACCCGCTGCTGACTTTCCCTTCGTGCCTGTACGCTGAGGTATAAACAGCTTGGAAAAATTGCCAGGAGAATTTGTCAGCGCAGTCCCAAAATGCCTATGAGCTTGTTCATCCTCTGCAGCAAAGGTAATTGGAGTAAGAGGTTTAGTGTGTTTGATTCATCATTAGAATTGTGTGTGATTGGCAGTAGATGAGTGAGTATACATGAAGTCCATGTATGGAATGGGGAGTGTGGATCCAGCATGTTGACAGCAACTATCCTGAACAAATCCCGCGATTCCTTTTGCTAACATCCTGTGGTTTTACACTGGTAATGGTTCCCATTTTGGGAGCTTCTTTAGGAAAGCTGGAGCGTAGTTTGGTTGGGAGCAGGTAGTAGATGACACAGCAGATGACTGCAGCCTGCTGCTCTGGGGTTAGCAGGCTGAGGAGCTGCCTGGTGTCTTCTCTCTTCACGAAGCCGTGGCAGGAGCATGCTTATACGGTGCAGTAATACTGGTCTGCTTTTTGTTTTGTAGAAGTAGCTGTATCGCCTTAGGTAAACCAAGGCAAAGTCTCTTAACCTACGCTCTTAGGCTAGATGTTTAGTAGAGATTAAACAAAAACAAGAAAAGAAGTTTTCAGTTGAGCAGGTGACCCCAGTTTGCAGACCTTGATGGAGGTTTGAATTCTCAGCAGAGCCAGTAGGAGCTTTGCTTTCCTCCCTAGTGAAAAGCCAGTGACTTTTCTGGGGGATTGTTTGTTTTAATAAATATCCCCAATTTTTCCTACTTGCATTTATTTGGTCCTGAATCCTGCCACTGCAAATGCTTCCTGTTCTATCCACACATTGTCCATGTAGAGCAGCCATCCCACAGGGACACGAGAGGCAAGAGGAGTGCACCTCTCACTGCTCCTGCTTTTGTGCTTCCAGCATGCAGCGGGGACCGGTACGGCCCAGACTGCTCTCTGCCATGCCAGTGTGCCCACGGGTCCCAGTGCAATCCTTACAACGGGAACTGCGTCTGTCCAGCCACGTGGATGGGACCAACCTGCAAAGAAGGTAACGCAAGCTGGAGATGCGTAGGCTTTTTTAGTGTAAGAAATTGTAGAGCTGTTCTGCATTTTCCAGCCTTGGTAGCAGCAGCTTTGCTTGGGAGTGTTGTAGCCATGTGTGTTACCTTGGTAAGAGGCCAAGAATTAATAAATGTGATAAATGGCCACATAGGTAGGTAACACATGGACAAATAGATTCAGATTGCTCTGTGAAGGTGCTGAAGAACTTACCACAGTATCACAAGCATTTCTTTGTTTTTAGTTTGGATAACTTCTTAATGATGTGTACTACTGTGTGAAAGTTTCCTCCCACTTGTAATCTAATCATGGCTGGCTTGTTTAGCAATGCCATACAGTTTAGAATGAATTAAATGTAGGAAACACTTTGTGAACTTTCCATTTGAGAGAGGATTTTACTGTTGTTGTACATGTTCTGTCTGTCTCCATGAGGAATTCAGTGTAGCTCAATCCTCTACTTTTTTTTTTTTTTTTGAAAGGTGTAGTATATTACATTATTTAAGTATGAACTGTATAATCTATATAGTATTTCAGAATTATATAGACCTACAATTGTGTTTCTACTGAATTCTCTAGGTGGCCCTCCAAAACTTCCTTTTTATGAAGAGCAAACCCAAGAAAGAGAGAATGTTTTTCCAAGAGCTCTGCAACAGTAACATTTGGATTAATAAATGAACTGTTTTATATGCACAGACGGTATTTGAATTTGGAAATGAAAATGGCTATTCAATTCAGCTTGAATGGTACTGAAGTATTCACACGTCTTATGGAAGAATACAGAGGCCATTTAGTAGCTGGATCCTTTTAAAAAGTGGAATCTGTTTTATGTATTTATTCCTAGCCTTTTGCCCCTCAATTAATCTGAACTGGACATTCTTTCTGATTTATAATGCAATTCATTGTTTGAAAGCTTGGACACATTTTTAGTAAAACCAGCTCCAGAGTATCAGGATAAACAGTATGGAACGTATCAACTTACAGTGAGCCACACCAACTGTAAGTGACTTTCTAAACCCACTTGACAACCAGAGTGAAGTTAAATGAGTTTTTCGTAGATCATGAAGCTGATATGGATCCACTGCAGAATCACGGTGTCCAGAGGCTCCCAGAATTCCCTGAATTAATTTCTCTGAGAATAGCATCACATGTTATAAAAAAATGTCTAGTCTGATTTTAAAATTGCCATTGATGAAGAATTCTCTGCAGTCCTTGTTGAGTTGTTAACTAATTTAAGAATATGTACTGAATTTTTCGCCTGAATTTCACAGACAGGAAGGTCTCAGTTTATATCTCATTTATATCTCAGTCTGCCTTCCAAAACATGGGATGCCTTCCATCAGGCTTGTCTGGGTTTCTCCTGTCTTATCACTTGAATTTCTCAGCAGTGTGTCAAATCAGACTGTACAATAGTTCTCATAAAAGAGTGCACAAAACCACACACACACCCCCAAAAAAAGACCTTTATCTTTTTTATAATAAGTGAACAACAGCAGATGTTGAATGCTGTCAGGACTTTTTAAAGCTGAGCTGTCTTAAGCAATTATTGTGTAGTAAGAGCACATTACATCCCATTGCAAATAGAATACACAAGGACCTTTGCTTGAAAATCATCTATCTTTGCTTGCTATCTCCTTTCTGCAAGCAAGATAAAGACGTTCTGGTGCTATTTTTTCTGTTTTTACAGGTTTCTGTTTAATAGGGACAAAGTCCTTATAAAGAAAGAATGTTGTCTGTTTTAATATCCTGATTCCATGGTAGCTCTCTATACTTCTCTTTGGGTCTGTTAGAAGTTACAAAACCTATGCAGTAACCTCTTCAGTCTGACTAGATAAAAAGTGCACTTACTAAAAGACATCAGAATCCAGGGCTCTTTAGTTTTGCAGGTCATGCAGTCAGCCTACTATTAACTTTCCACAATAAATTACCCCTCTACAAGAAAAGATTTTCCTCCTGGAAGAGGCAAAGTTGCAGTAATTGATGCTAACTTGTGATTTAAAAAAAAAAAAAAAAATTGTTGTTGCTGCAGTTGGGTAATGAGTAAGTGAAATAAGATTTACCCCAAGGTTCACCTCAGGTCTTAAACAAATCTGCAGTCATTAAGTGGCCAGTATGCAATAAGTGACTTTTGCTCACCTGGGACTTTAATTCAAGCTGTGATCTTTTGGAAGCAATACAAGTTTGCTAGGTATTTTCAAGCTTAATGGAAGGCTTATTGTTGTTATTCATCACTCCGTGGGTATTGAAAGTCATTCATGCCTGTGACCATATTAATTAACCATCTGTGCTTTCCATCAGAAAATCCCAGGTACTGATCTGATCCCTTGTCATTTCTTCTTCATAGCTCTATGAATGTTACCAGAAAATTTACTTGATGTAATGTGTCAAAATTGCCATTTTCCCCCAGCTAGTCAGAAGCRTGTGGTTCTCCATAGACCTATTCTGTCAACTGTGACATTTTAAATGTTTCTTTGGAGAGCCATTTCACTTAAGTGAATTGAATGTAGTAAGGTAAATCTTGTACAAGAGGACAATTAGGTATCATGCTATTAACTGCTACAGAAGGAACATCTGAGTTGAGCAACTGCCTTCTTTTGATCTCACCAGCGTATTTACCGCTCACTTGTCAAAGAGCCAAACTACTACAAGCATTAAGTTATATTCAAAATTGTTCATGGAATAGTTTAGGTTGGAAGAAATCCCTGGAGATCCAGTCCTGGTCCTGATCAAAGCGAAGTCAACCTCAAAGCAAAATGGAGTCACTCAGAGACTTGTCCAGTTGAGTTCTGAGTATCTCCAGAGATGAAGACTCCACAACCTCTTTGGGCCTTCCTCCAGTCGTAACTCATCCCATGAAATTTTTTTCCWACTTTGGAACTAGAACTTCCAGTGTCGCAATTTGCTGCTTCTCATCCTTCCAGCGTGCGCCTCTGAGAGGAGTTGGTGTCCTTACCATCTCCTTCACCTCGTGACCTCCAGGAAGAGGCCTTCACCTCATCTTCAGTCCATATGGAGTAGCTGATACTGCAACACACCTCTCCTTAGCCTTGTCTTCCCCACACTGGACAGACACTGCCCTCCTGARCGACGTGTCCTCCAGCCACTATTAGTCTTGGTCTTTCTCCACTGGACTCATCCTAGTATGTCTGGAATTTTAATTTAATGGAAGATACCTGTTGTCAGTGGGCCTTATATTTGGTATGTTTACACACTAATGCAGAAAGAACAAGAATGTCTTGTTCTTTTGCAGCAGTATAAAAAAAAATAGACTGTTTTTCTTGTCTGTCTGCTATCTTCAAGCAGCTGATGGAAGGAGAAACCCTTCTGAAGCCATATCCGTTACACCTGTGTATACTTGTTTACATTTTCCTCAGTACCTTAGTATCAGAATTGTAAATATGTACTATAAAGGAAATAACATATTTTGTATTAAGTATTTTTAAAGAATTTCTTAATTCTAGATACATGATGAAACACATATTCTAAGTGACTGATATTGAGCGTATGCCAAAGAATTAGAGGCCCAAGTCGATCTGCCTGGGAAATATTTCAGCAAAGTTTTTCTTTTTTTTTTTTTAAATTAGAAAATACCAATTCATACAAAACTATTTACATGCAATAGTCTTTTTATAGGCATTCCTCCTTCAAAATACTTCTTAGCTTCTTATATTATTGCCTTAAGGAAAAAAAGATCACTTCAGTGCAAAGTATTAAAAGAAGACTTTTTGACATCTTTTTTTTGGTAGCTGTAGATCTGCAGATTTTCTTATAATTGAAGTTATGGAAAGTGGTCACATGATGTCATTTGCTRGATGAAAAGCCAAACTTTACGTAATTATCTATTAATAAAGTTAACTTCCTTGTATTATCACCAAGACATTCTCATGCTGCTTCTTATTGCAGATTAATAAATTTACCTGATYGTGTTCCTACAAATGACATTTAGTAGACAGCATGGAGTTTTCCTGAGATTCGTTTTGTGACAGATTACATTACCTTAGTAATAATAATTTTGTTGATTTGATTCATGAGCTCCTGTCGGAATCTTATGGCAGCACAGAATCATATGATAGCACTGAAGCCCATTGAAAAAGAAAATGCAGATTTCACTGAAAGTTAGATTCAGATTATGTTCATCTTCCATTTGGTGACTGCCTTTTTGACTGTCTGTTTCCCAGAAGATCTCAAAATTAATGGAGCTTTCTTGAAAAGAGCACTTTGTGTATTCCCGTGTAACACACTTGCACTTATACAGTGCTTCTTTCAGGAGGATATTTGAATTATTTAGAACATGCAATCTGTGCCAAAATCCACTGTCTTACCTTGCTGTGTATTCCAGATAGCTGTTGTTGTTGAAGAATGGAAATGAGTGTAACTCAGTGGATCCAGCAGAATTTTAATCAATGTGAATTCATGAAGCCAGAACAACATGTTTTAAGTTAGACTTCAGTATTTATAATGCTATCCTCATAGGAAAACAATCAGAATTTTAAAAATTCTCCGCTTCTACTGCCAGAAATTATTATTCTACTTTTATCCTTTTTATGTTGAAGAACCATTGCTATTAAAGTTTGCCCAGATTTCTTGCCAACCATATTATTTTGATTGGCYGCAGCTTTCTGTTTGTGTAAGTAATAACCATAACAGCATCAGGAGTTGCCAGGGGGACAAACATGGAAACTAGACCTTCGTATCCCTTCCAGAGGAGCCGGGAGACGCGTTTTGGAGCCGTGGTGGCTTCATAGCGTTGGCCTAATGATGACAAATCACAGCGTTGCTCCTGGAGCTTAGTTGTTTATCAGAGCAGAGACAAGTCGGGAGGAGCTCCGGAGGGAATTGCTGCACCGGGAAACCTTGATCCTCCCGCACTTGTGTAAATTTTTTTTACAACAGAGCCGGAAACCCTTTCGGCCCCCAGGCCGTGGCAGAGGCTTCGTGCGCGGACGGTGACCCGTGGCTGATGGCAGCTCCCCGCATGAGCAGTGCCCCTGCCTGGTCGTTCGTTTGCAGTGTCAAAGCTTTACATTTTAGCCCGGTAAAGCAATTTCCAGGGATAAACAAAGCATTTCAGGCCGGTAGCGCATGAATTGTTTAAATTTTTTTTTATCGGTTTTAATAAGCACTTGCGTAGCAATAGTGTGTCTTAGTGGATTTGTAGCCCCTGTTCACAGAGCATGGGGAGGGGTGTATCTCAGAGCTGTACTGTGCTTTCTGTTGTACACGTGTAATGGTGAAAGGATGCTGATTTTTTTTATAAATGTGTCATTCAAACTTCTTCTTGTTTTCTCCTTATTGGTAATATTCATGTAATAGGCTTGCGTTACAGATCAAATTTTATCCTGTTAAACTAATTTATATTCAGAGCAAACACTGAAATCACACCTGCTTTTAGGAGTTTATTAAAAAAAATAGTAATGTGGTCTGTACGGAAATGGGTGTATTTAAAGATCTCTGAGCAGAGCAGCTTCTCCAGTGACCAAGCCTGATAAACCGAGATCTCTGGCACATCCAGAGTATTAGAAGCATCCAAAACACAGCATAAATCTTGCTGGGAGAGGATGCTTATGAAGTGTAACGTTTCTGGAAGACTCGGGCATTAGGCACTTGGAAACCACACACCTGCAGGCTTCCCTCGGCCTCCTTGGCCACTTCCCAAAGGCTGATGCTCGCCGTACAAATCGCCGTGTTCACCTTGAGGGCATTGTCCTCCCACCCTGGCAGGAGCTGAAGGAACACGTGTGCCCCTCGAGTGCCAAGCAGTGCAGTAAGTGTGTGCTGTTTAATTGGAAGGAGCATGCTGAATTGAATTGAAAATGTGGAACAAAGAAGGGACAGTATATCAAGCTGTCAGATAAAAAAAGAGAGGGGGGAGTGTAGGCATATACGGTTAACTG